TATCCATTTTAACTTTCTAGGGGTATGTCTCTCCATCACCCAGGTGGTATGTCTCTCCAACTCACGGGGGTATGTCTCTCCATCACCCAGGTGGTATGTCTCTCCAACTCACTGGTGGTATGTCTCTCCATCACCCAGGTGGTATGTCTCTCCATCACCCAGGTGGTATGTCTCTCCAACTCACTGGTGGTATGTCTCTCCATCACCCAGGTGGTATGTCTCTCCAACTCACTGGTGGTATGTCTCTCCATCACCCAGGTGGTATGTCTCTCCAACTCACTGGTGGTATGTCTCTCCATCACCCAGGTGGTATGTCTCTCCAACTCACGGGGGTATGTCTCTCCATCACCCAGGTGGTATGTCTCTCCATCAACCAGGTGGTATGTCTCTCCATCACCCAGGTGGTATGTCTCTCCATCACCCAGGTGGTAGGTCTCTCCATCACCCAGGTGGTAGGTCTCTCAAACTCATTGGTGGTATGTCTCTCCATCACCCAGGTGGTATGTCTCTCCAACTCACTGGTGGTATGTCTCTCCATCAACCAGGTGGTATGTCTCTCCAACTCACGGGGGTATGTCTCTCCATCAACCAGGTAGTATGTCTCTCCAACACACGGGGGTATGTCTCTCCATCAACCAGGTAGTATGTCTCTCCAACTCACAGGGGTATGTCTCTCCATCAACCAGGTAGTATGTCTCTCCAACTCACGGGGGTATGTCTCTCCATCACCCAGGTAGTATGTCTCTCCAACCCACTGGTAGTATGTCTCTCCAACCCACTGGTAGTATGTCTCTCAAACCCAGTGGTGGTATGTTTCTCAAACTCACTGGTGGTATGTCTCTCCAACTCACTGGTGGTATGTCTCTCCATCAATCAGGTAGTTTGTCTCTCCAACTCACGGGGGTATGTCTCTCCATCAACCACTTAGTATGTCTCTCCAACTCACTGATGGTATGTCATTTAAACTCACTGGTTTATGTCTCTCCATCTCACCTCTGGTATGTTTTTCCAACTCACTTGGGTATGACTCTCCAACTCACTGATGGTATGTCACTCTAACTCACTGGTAGTATGTCTCTCCAACTCACCGATGGTATGTCTTTCCAACTCACTTGGGTATGTCTCTCCAACTCACTGGAGGTATGTCTCTCCACCTCACTGATGGTATGTCTTTCCAAATCACTTGGGTATGTCTCCCCAACTCACTGGTGTTATGTCTATCCACCTCACTGGAGGTATGACTCTCCAAATCACTCCTGATATGTCTCTCGAACTCCCTAGTGGTAAGTCTCTCTAAATCACTGGTGGTATGTCTCTCCACCTCACTGGAGGCATTTCTCTCCAACTCACTCGGGTATATCTCTCCATCTCACTGATGGCATGTCTTTCCAACTCACTGGTGGTATGTCTCTCCACCTCACTGGAGCTATGACTCTCCAAATCACTGCCGATATGTCTCTCGAACTGCTTAGTGGTAAGTCTCTCTAACTCACTGAGGTATGTCTCGCCACCTCACTGGTGGTATGTCTCTGCAACAATGTGTTGTGTGTAAACAATTTGCAGCCAGAAGTATGATCCTATGACAGTAACAAAAACAAGGAAGTATATAAAATAGTGATGCATTTTACAACCCTACATAAACATGCATGGTGTTTAATTATGTGCCTTCGTAAATGTTATTGATGTAAATTGGGAAGTGCGTAATGTAACCAGTTTTTGCTGTGGAGTAACCTTATTACAAGTCCTGTATCATTTTCTAGAATTTGATTTCATTGGTATTTAATATAGATATCGCTATTTTGTAGAAGGAAGAGCTGTTCATATCATTGACTTAACGGGGAGTATGTGTTGCCTACACTTACCGTGGGGTATCTTGTGGTTTCATTCATTTACCGAGGGGTATCTTGTGGTTTCATACACTGACCGAGGTGACCTTGTGTTTCATAAACTTACTGAGGAGTAATCTGTGGTTTCATACACTGACCGAGGGGTATCTTGTGGTTTTATACACTTACCGAGGGGTATCTTGTGGTTTCATACACTGACCGAGGGGTATCTTCTGGTTTTATACACTTACCGAGGGGTATCTTGTGGTTTCATTCATTTACCGAGGGGTATCTTGTGGTTTCATACACTGACCGAGGGGTATCTTGTGGTTTCATACACTTACCGAGGTGACCTTGTGTTTCATAAACTTACTGAGGAGTAATCTGTGGTTTCATACACTGTCCGAGGGGACCTTGTGTTTCATTCATTTACCGAGGGGTATCTTGTGGTTTCATACACTGACCGAGGGGTATCTTGTGGTTTTATACACTTACCGAGGGGTATCTTGTGGTTTCATACACTTACCGAGGGGTATCTTGTGGTTTCATACACTGACCGAGGGGTATCTTGTGGTTTCATACACTTACCGAGGTGACCTTGTGTTTCATAAACTTAACGAGGAGTAATCTGTGGTTTCATACACTGTCCGAGGGGACCTTGTGTTTCATACACTGACCGAGGGGTATCTTGTGGTTTCATACACTGACCGAGGGGTATCTTGTGGTTTTATACACTTACCGAGGGGTATCTTGTGGTTTCATACACTTAACGAGGTGACCTTGTGTTTCATAAACTTACTGAGGAGTAATCTATGGTTTCATACACTGTCCGAGGGGACCTTGTGTTTCATACACTTACCGAGGGGTATCTTGTGGTTTCATACACTGACCGAGGGAACCTTGTGTTTCATACACTTACCGAAGGGAACTTGTGTTTCATTCACTTACTCAGGGGTAATCTGTGGTTTCATACACTGTCCGAGGGGCCCTGTGTTTCATACACTGATCGAGGGGTATCCTGTGGTTTCATATACTGACCAAAGGGAACTTGTTTCATACATTTACCGAGGGGTATCTTGTGGTTTCATACATTTACTGAGGGGTATCCTGTGGTTTCATACACTGACCAAAGGGAACTTGTGTTTCATACATTTACCGAGGGGTATCTTGTGGTTTCATACACTTACCGAGGGGTATCTTGTGGTTTCATACATTTACCGAGGGGTATCTTGTGGTTTCATACACTGATCGAGGGGTATCTTGTGGTTTCATACACTGATCGAGGGGTATCTTGTGGTTTCATACACTTACCGTTATTATGAGCATTACACCCTCAAATATCAATAGATACGAAAGATATTTCATGAGAAGTTAATTACATAATAGCACGATTTAATGAAATGATTATCTCAATTATGTGGTCAATTGGACATTAAAGGAGTGCTGGTTTTACATAATAACACGACTTATCGAAATGATGATCCCAAAAAGTCGTGTCACTGTACAGCCTAAAACATCAGGAAAGATGAAGTATGCCGTTGTGTAGGTTGTGCATCGCGGGTGAATGTTGTCAAAGCGAGACAACTCCAACGTGCACTCTTTTCCATATATACGATAATAGCTGATTATTTACATTGAACTAACAGGGATCGTAACAACTACTGTAAAATGAACAGTTGATAGACAACGCGGTGATTGTAAAATGTGAACATTCTAGAATACAGAAGTTATGGTGAACAGTTGACAGACAACGCGGTGATTTCTGTAAAATGTGAACATTCTAGAATACAGAAGTTATGGTGAACAGTTGACAGACAACGCGGTGATTTCTGTAAAATGTGAACATTCTATAATACAGGAATTACGGTGAACAATTGACAGACAACGCGGTGATTGTAAAATGTGAACATTCTAGAATACAGGAGTTCAGTGAACAGTTGACAGACAACGCGGTGATTGTAAGATGTGAACATTCTAGAGTACAGGAGTTCAGTGAACAGTTGACAGACAACGCGGTGATTTCTGTAAAATGTGAACATTCTAGAACACAGGAGTTATGGCAAACAGTTGACAGACAACGCGGTGATTTCTGTAAAATGTGAACATTCTAGAATACTGGAATTACGGTGAACAGTTGACAGACAACGCGGTGATTGTAAAATGTAAACATTCTAGAATACTGGAATTACGGTGAACAGTTGACAGACAACGCGGTGATTTCTGTAAAATGTGAACATTCTAGAACACAGGAGTTATGGCAAACAGTTGACAGACAACGCGGTGATTTCTGTAAAATGTGAACATTCTAGAATACTGGAATTACGGTGAACAGTTGACAGACAACGCGGTGATTGTAAAATGTGAACATTCTAGAATACAGAAGTTATGGTGAACAGTTGACAGACAACGCGGTGATTGTAAAATGTGAACATTCTAGAATACAGGAGTTATGGTAAACAGTTGACAGACAACGCGGTGATTGTAAAATGTGAACATTCTAGAATACAGGAATTACGGTGAACAGTTGACAGACAACGCGGTGATTGTAAAATGTGAACATTCTAGAATACAGGAGTTATGGCAAACAGTTGACAGACAACGCGGTGATTTCTGTAAAATGTGAACATTTTAGAATACAGGAATTACGGTGAACAGTTGACAGACAACGCGGTGATTGTAAAATGTGAACATTCTAGAATACAGAAGTTATGGTAAACAGTTGACAGACAACGCGGTGATTTCTGTAAAATGTGAACATTTTAGAATACAGGAATTACGGTGAACAGTTGACAGACAACGCGGTGATTGTAAAATGTGAACATTCTAGAATACACAAGTTACGGTGAACAGTTGACAGACAACGCGGTGATTGTAAGATGTGAACATTCTAGAATACAGGAGTTACGGTGAACAGTTGACAGACAACGCGGTGATTGTAAGATGTGAACATTCTAGAATACAGAAGTTATGGTAAACAGTTGACAGACAACGCAGTGATTGTAAAATGTGAAAATTCTAGAATACAGGAGTTATGGTAAACAGTTGACAGACAACGCGGTGATTTCTGTAAAATGTGAACATTCTAGAATACAGGAGTTACGATGCTCTCTCCTAAGTTTGTTGTTCCTTACACAGCAAACTCTTCCATTTAATTTAAGATTACAACAAATAAGGTAATTTATGTGTGAATTTTAATTCATATGCAAGATTTTGTATAGCATATATTTCATGATCATTTATGTAAGCACTTCCATGCGACATGTACACAGTGTCATATTTGCTGGTCCAAAAGATCATTATCAAAATGTTGTAAAGGTTTATCACAGATCATACAACCAGGAAGAGCACGGTTCCTTCTGGACATCAATCTCATCCACAGTTCCTTTTCTGTACAGTGAATTTATTCATAAATCATACTCTCTGTACATAATGAATACTCTTCTGTTTTGCCACCAAACCAGAGCTCAACCTCGCGTTTTCCGCTTTCAACAGAATCGCTACCGTGGCAGATGTTCCTAATGAATGACAAGATAAAAAGCATTAACAAATATTTCAAATTGGATAAAATTATTTGTCAAAAAAAAAAAAAAGTGATAGAAATATTTTCTGGGCTCAATTACAACATATTTTTCATGCCATTTAACACCTTTGGCATGCAATTTTATTATATAATATAAATACAACCTCTACCAGACACCAAACATGCATCACAAAATTCACCAGACCTTTAAACATACGTCACAACCTCTACTAGACACTAAACATACAACACAACCTCCAACAGACACCATGTATACAACAGGATCTCCACCAGACATGCAACACAACCTTCAACAGACACCATGTATACAACAGGATCTCCACCACAACACAACCTCCAACAGACACCACGTATACAACAGGATCTCCACCAGACACACACACAACCTCCAACAGACACCATGTACACAACACAACCTCCAACAGACACCATATATACAACAGGATCTCCACCAGATACTCAACACAACCTCCAACAGACACCAAGTATACAACAGGATCTCCACCAGACACACGACACAACCTCCTACAGACACCATGTATACAACAGGATCTCCACCAGACACGCAACACAACCTCCAACAGACACCATGTATACAACAGGATCTCCACCAGACACACAACACAACCTCCAACAGACACCATGTATACAACAGGATCTCCACCAGATACACAACACAACCTCCAACAGACACCATGTAAACAACACAACCTCTAACAGACACCATGTATACAACAGGATCTCCACCAGACACACACACAACCTCCAACAGACACCATATACACAACACGATCTCCACCAGACACACGACACAACCTCCTACAGACACCATGTATACAACAGGATCTCCACCAGACACGCAACACAACCTCCAACAGACACCATGTATACAACAGGATCTCCACCAGACACTAGATACACAACACAACCTCCAACAGACACCATGTATACAACAGGATCTCCACCAGACACGCAACACAACCTCCAACAGACACCATGTATACAACAGGATCTCCACCAGACATGCAACACAACCTCCAACAGACACCATGTAAACAACAGGATCTCCACAAGACACTATATACACAACACAACCTCCAACAGACACCATGTATACAACAGGATCTCCACCAGACATGCAACACAACCTCCAACAGACACCATGTATACAACAGGATCTCCACCAGACACGCAACACAACCTCCAACAGACACCATGTATACAACAGGATCTCCACCAGACATGCAACACAACCTCCAACAGACACCATGTATACAACAGGATCTCCACCAGACACTATATACACAACACAACCTCCAACAGACACCATGTATACAACAGGATCTCACAACACAACAGACACCATGTGGATCTCCAACACAACCTCCAACAGACACCATGTAAACAACAGGATCTCCACCAGACACGCAACACAACCTCCAACAGACACCATGTATACAACAGGATCTCCACCAGACACTATATACACAACACAACCTCCAACAGACACCATGTAAACAACAGGATCTCCACCAGACACTATATACACATCAAGACCTTCACCAGACACAAGAAATAATTAATAATTTTGATTTAGTGAAGTTTAAAAGATCACTGTAAATGATAAAATTACCTTCCAACATCTATACAGAAGTCGCCTCGAATGGTTCCTGGGTTAGAGTCTAAAGGATTGGTGGCACCTAACATGACACGCCCGGTCTTTACAACACTCTTTCCCTGCCAAGCCTGTAAAAGACAAGTCCAACTTTCTTATCAGAAACAAAATATGAAAATTCTTTAGGAATGTTGTAAAAATTTAATCTGGACTGATAGCATTTAAGGATTATATCTGGACTGATAGCATTTAAGGATTGAATCTTGTTTATGTCAAGTTCATGGGATGATGAATTGAGTTTGTCTTGAGACAAATTTAATGAACTGCAAAGCAGTTCATGTTGGATTTGTCTCAAGACCAACTCAATTTATCATCCCATGAAATCGACATAAGCAAGATTCAATCCTTATATTTCAATTCACGCTTCTTTTTTCTATAGCATGGGAACTGACGCAATTTATCTTTTACTTTCATTTTCGTTTCTTGTCATATTGTTTGACGTCATACAGGCAAATAGTCCGTCATTTGAAGACAGATTATTGTGACAGGTTGAAATATATTTCAGTGTGGTTACTTAACATTCAATGAAACTTAAATAAGAACAAAATTAAATATATTTTTCGACAACTTTAATGAAAATTTAAATCACAGTGTGCAACAAAGACAGTGTGCATTTTTCCCCGGTGCGGTGTCGTCCAAGGACCTTAACGATAAAGAAATATTAGGCTTCAGTCGCTACATCTTTTGAAAAGTAAAGTTACAGTTATTAAATGTTGATTTCAATTTCTATTTTGATGTTTTTAAATCTCATACTTGTGGTATATTGCCAGTCAAGAAGTTGGGGAGTTTTCTCCCCTTACGATTCATGTTGTTAATCTGGTCAAATTCATCGGTAAATGAAACAGATCACATTTAGTAGATTCATTGGGTCTGATTTTGGTAGAAATTGAAATATTCATGTTTTAAATACTGACAGAAAATCAGTCATTCAGTAGAGACACATATTGTGATCCACTCACTCTTTTCTGACAAAATAAAATTGTTTAGAATTGTAAAAGGTAGCATCAACACAAACCAACAAATCATTAGCTCATGTTAAATGATATAGCACCTGTTCTATGCAGATGTTTATATATATATATATATATATTTGTAAGTGTAAGGGGCTTGATTTATACAAATAGAATACTTCATATGTACTTCAATTGTTGTCAGTCTGCATTTAACAGACTGAGAATGGCCTCTATGTATTTGATTTAAACAATTTTGAATTATAGTTAGTAAAGGTAACAGAAAACAATTTGTTTTAATTGATGTTCTCAACATTCCGACCTAATTCCAGTTTAATGTTTCCAGTGGAAATGGGGGAAATTGAAAATGAAAAGGACATTGTTAATCAGATCCTTTGCCAAGGGCATGGTATGTAATATTCCTTTATAGGAGTTCAGAGGTAATGGTTTATATGAAGGATGAAACAGAAGTAGTGATTTAATGATATATAAGGACGGTTTTGGAAATATATTATGGAGACACTGGAGTCAGTTCATTTGATTATCAAATGTTAAAATATATGACACAGTGCAGTTGTTTTGATGTTTGAATTTTGACATAATTGACAAACACAAAAATATACGCCAAATCAGGAGGTGTACATAATTATGCATACTGAAAGTTCTGTACACCAAAATAAAATGGAGAGTACTGATGATATATGGAATATTTGTGACTGAAACATGGGTAAATATTGATTCTAAAGTGATAATGAGTGGTTATGTTTGTCATACTGTCATTACAACATTTGTTTAGAAATAGCAATGATAATCTTAACTTGCCAAATCCAAAATGATCCCCAGAAAGCCAGTCTAATTCTTCTGATCAGTTCCAAAATCAAACGAGCACAAACAGAGACTAAAGGGAACACACATATGAAATTTGAGAGAGATCCATTCAGTGCTTCTTAAGAAATAGGGATAACAATCTTTACTTGACAAAATCCAAGATGGCTGCCCATTGGCCATTTTCTTTTTATGATCAGTGACAAAATGAAATGGGCACAACTAGGGACCAAGATAAACCTATGCATAAAATTTGAGAAAAATCTATGCAAAGTTTCTCTACAAATTGCGATAATAAACTTTCAAAGTCAAAATACAAGATGGCCACCAGGAGGCCATTTTCTTTTTCTGATCAGTACCAAATCAAACAGGCGTAACTAGGGACCAAAAGGAACATACACATGAAATTTGAGAAAGATTTATGCTGTAGTTCTCAAAAAATAGCAATAACAAAAAGTGTTCATGTACGGAGGGGGATTTGAATAGCCCACCATCTGATGAGCTAAAAATGTGTGATGTTCAGGAAAACCATGATCGTGCAATCATGTTCAACAATAGCAGCAGTGGCTGCCACAGCAGGAAAATAACACTTTGACAACTTTGTCACAGTTGGAACTTGAGAAGTTAAAAAAGGTGAAAGGTCTTGTGGATGATGCACGACAACAGACGAAATATGACAACTACAGGTTATCTTTACCTTTATTCAGGCTGTCTCTCATCTCTTAAACACCCGATGAAGATGAAATTGCAATGATTACCAAATATATTAGTATTTCCAAAGTGTCATAAATTTTTTATTAGTTGAATAAAATGAAGTAATCAGCTTTAGGTACTCACCATGGCAACGACTGGTCCGCTAGACATGTATTTGATCAATCCTGGGAAGAAAGCTTTGGACTTGAGGTCTTGATAATGTGTCTCCAAAAATTCCTTGGACGGCTGAAGAAACAATAAAGGTATTGTGCAACATCTATTCAGTTTCAAATAAGATCTATCTTATCATTACTTAAGTGCCCACTACAACAATGATGTCAAATATTTAAAAGTACATGGGGAGGCTTAATACAGAACAATGAAATACTCCAAAGCATCAAATGGTTTTTGATGTATACAGTTTGTTTGGCTTATCACAGAATACATGTTAATTATGAAGAGTCATATAGAGTTAGGACAAAATGTGTAAAGGCAAATTAAATATAAAAGCAATAAACAGTGTAATTGAAATTCTCTTAATCCTGTTGGCATTCATAAGCTAATGGATGCCAAATGAAAGCAGTTCATTACTAAACTATCACATCAATAGTTAGCATGTGAATTATCAGTACATCCAGGAGCCTGTGGTGATTCAGTGGATGATGGTACATGTTAATGTGTTGAAATATAGACATTGATTAGCCTTACCAAGAACATCACAGTAACTTCAGAAAAACCTCTCAGTAACACAACTCTGGACATATTTTAGTAGCTACTGAAGACTAGGGATTCCTGTTAAGTGTGTTGATACAAACATACAGAGTACTTCATTACAGAAATATAGAAATCCAGCATCTCTATTGACATCCAGATCAGGATTTGGCACAAATATTATACAAAATTACAGTTTAATATACAATTATACAAGAGATAGCATACAAAGCTATTGTTTACTACAGTATCCCCCCTCCCCCCGCTTTTTTTGGTTATGTTCCTTTATCATGTGGCACTCTCAGGAGTGGAGGTACACCTCAAGTGTTCCATGTACAATGCTAAAGGTTTTCGTTTAAGAACAAATTGCTTTTATTTTGTACAGCTGTAGTAGTGTATAACTCAGGCTGCTTGTCCAGGGAAGTAAAATTTACAGTCAGACTACACACAACAGTACAACCCTGCAGTACATGGACAGAATTCACATTCAACCCCAGGTCAAAGCTGGCTACATCCAGTTCCAGAGTCAACCTTGGCGTCATGGAAACCTGGACAATAGCCAGTGATAAGTGGAACACCTAATCATACTAAGCTGATCACCTGACACAGGCAATTACACTAATTATCTCTCAAAATGGAATCACATGTCAAAGATGTTGTTAATTAAAAAAACCTAGAGGAGTGTGGTGAGAAATCTTTCTTTAATTCACATTATGTAAAAAAAAAAAAGTATGTCATTTCTATAAAGTTTTCAATGTAATAACATTTCCAGATGTAATACGAAGTATATGTGTATTGATTTTTCTTGTTGAACACTTATGACACGCAAAAGTAGGAAAAAAAATCCATCATTTTTCAATATCAACAAGAGGCCAAGAGGGCCTGTATCGCTCACCTGGATCTTTATGACCAACGGTACTATATCTGTGCATATGTTCCACAGTAGGTGCTTAAAGCAATATGACAAATTACTCCATATTGGTTCTGTCCCTTAGTAGTCAGCCCCCTCAACTGTGCAATATTGAACTGAGACTTTCTTATTATGTTTCCAGTTAAATATAATTGATAGCTTTCTTTCAAATCAAGGAAAGAAGATGGTCCAACAATATACAAACAATATAGCAGAAAAACTCTTAGTTATAGCTGGACGGGTGACCCAGGATAGCAGAAGCTTATTTGCCCTTTAGATCATTGTTTACAAACACAGATACAACATATTTGAAACTTGCACAAGTCAACAATATATAGCAACAATTAAATATCAAGACAGGAAAAATTAAGGTACGTGTGATTATAAACCATAATCCTAACTCAAAACCAATAATAAATTGTTTCATGCATATCATTAGTGATGTCACCATGGTCAGTTAAGCCCCGTTACTGGAGATATATTGATAACAGTTTACTGTAGGCCTATAAACACTGCATAGCAAATGGGATCAACTTAGAATTTATTTATTTATGCCATAATTACGAAGAATCTTAAATCAAAATGAAGCTCTTGCAATTCTCTTTCCAATCATGTTTTCTGCATTTTAATGCTGTGAATAGAACATAAGTAATTGGCTAACATGTAGTTTTTCACATTACTCAGCTCAAGCCCCTCAGACCTCCAGGGGGCTTGGCCTAATCTATTTTTTGGAACAGTGTTACATCACTGTGAAAGGTCTTTTATAATTTATCCAAATTGTGCCAAGAAAATTTCCAGCCAAATATATTCCTTTAATAAGTCATTGGAAGGTTCTACATATTTGTATAGAAGCCTTTGTGAAACTTTTACTGGCCGAATATGATAGCCTTTGTTCAATCAGAAGTTGTTGATAATTTTACCAAATTTAACCCCAGTGACCTTAAATATTTTTATTGGTCAAGCTATTTTTTCACACACTATGTGGGCACCATAAAGGGAACCTTTAGGGAGTATTATGATCCTTGGCCTTAAGATTAATCAGCAGATGTTCAAAGGTTTAACACATTTGACTGTTGTGACCTTAAAATATGGGTCAATGTCATTTCTGTTCTCAATTATTACCGGGCATCATTGAGAACCTATTTCAGAATAATATCACTATCCTAGATGTTTTGGATAATCAGAAAATGTCATTTAAATGTTTAACACATTTAACCCCTGTGACCCTGACTATGGGTCAAGGTCATTTCTTTTTGCAAACTTTCTTGGACTTCATAAAAGGAACGTACTGGCCCAATATAATGACTCTAGGCTTTTCGATATTTCAGAAGAAATTTTCTAAACGTTTTAACACATTTGACCCCTCTGACCATGAAGATTGGTCAAGTTAATTTCTTTTAGCAAACTTTGTAGGACACCACAAGAGGAACATAGTAGCCTAATATAATGATTCTAGGCCTTCTAGTATTTGGGGAGAAGTTGTTTAAAGGTTTTAACATATTTGACCTCTGTGACCTTGAATATGGGTCAAGGTCATTTCTTTTCACAAACTTTATTACGCTTCATCAAAGCAACCTTCCAGCCAAATATAATGATTCTAGGCCTTCAAGCATTTTGGAAGAAGTCGTTTAAAGGTTTTTACACATTTGACCTCAGTGACCTTGAATATGGGTCATGGTAATTTCTTTTGGCAAACTTTGTTGGGCTTCATCAAAGGAACCTTCCAGCCAAATATGATAGCTCTATGCCTTTTGGTATTTCAGAAGAAGTTGTTTAAATGCAAAGTTGACAGATGCAGGACAGACAGACGACGAATGCTGCGCTATGGCAGAAGCCCTTTGGGCCAAGTGAGCTAATAATATTTCTATCAACATATTTTAAAATACAAGTAACAATTATATTATAATGCTTTTCATTCCTGGAACCCAACTTTCCTGCAGAGAACTTTACTTTTAAAAGTTCATCTTTTAAATTTGACACTCTTTTACCCGATTAAGCTGCTCAGATGCACATGTTACATATATCTCAAAAGAGAGGACTGCACTAAGTTCAGTATTTGTAGATATAAACATTGTGTATATATTTATCTGCCAATTACTGTTAACAAATAATAAATGACCCAAACAGAATTATTCATATTGCGGACTAAGTTATATAAATCAATACAAATTTTTGGTGAATTACGACAAAAATGAAACTTGTCCTATTTTTTGACAGAAAATTTTATATAAAACTTCATTTTTCACTAACTTGAGCTTTATTTGCATGTAGAAAGTGGTGTTCATAACGTTAGTCTCTTTTCCGAAATGAAGTAACTTAGCTTTTTTTCAAACCGCGGAGGCTAATTAAATATTAGTCATTAGTTGGGTTTTTTTTAATTGATACTTCAGCTTTACATAACATTACTTCTTAAAATCACATCAAACGGACGTCTTTCTTCCCAAGGACAAGACAAAAGCTTAGAACACTTGTGTCAATACAGGAAATAGGATTCCTATTAAAATGTTAACATCGAGTCTAGATTTTAATTACACAAAAATGACGTCACATTATATGCATACAAAGTTGTACATTTTTGTACAATGTTTGTCGAACATGTACTGGCAAGACATCTTCCCAGCTCTGGCTCATTTTTTTTTCATAATCAACATGTCTCTGTGCGTGACGTATAACTCCACGTGCCATGCCCTGGTAGGTGAAATAAAATGCCGGCCGGTGTCTGAAAATGAATGTTAGCTTACCGACATCATTTTGCATCCGATAAGCTGGAAGCCTCTGCTCTCGAACCGCTTGATGATCTCTCCGACGAGCCCCCGCTGGACTCCGTCAGGTTTCACCATGATGAATGATACTTCTTTCTGGTCGGACATCTTTACTTGTGAACGGTTGAACGATGCAAAAATAGACAGCAGGGTCGCGACCATGTGGACTACGTAAAAGGAAACGTGAGGTCGGAGGAAATTTCAACACCGGCCACGTGATTCACTACAAAGGCTTACAACTTCCGGTAAAGTATAAGTCGTTTCAATAAAGACCCACAGCGCCACGAGTGAGACCACAGATGTATAAAAACGTGTAGATATGACGATACGTGTGGACGTAAAGCTTATGAAAATAAATAAATGATACATGTAGAAGCATGCGGTGGATGATAATATGTCATGACCCAGGCCTACGCCATATTACATCAGCTCAATTTGGGAAAGACATACCTGCATTAACTGTTAGGCTCTGAACTAAAAAGAAATCAACTATACCGAGATGTAAAAGTAAAAATTATTTCATCAACTTGTTTTTGAGGTCCGCGATACCTAAAACTACAGTTGATGCAAAAAGCAACCTTGAAGTTATGGCAAATGTTTTGTTTATTAGACTGTAAGGTGTTTCCAAGTAGTCCACGGTGATTTTATACAAGAGTCTAGAGAGCGTTAAAGAACATCACTCTATGAAGTGTACTTCAAGAATTCAAATTTGAAGATCAAATAAATGAATTTCCCTTAGTGTCATAATTTTTAATGCTATATGTCTTAACTTAAAGCCCCACACCCCAACCCACCCCCACCTTTCCCACCATCCTTTTTATAATGAAATCCAGTTGATCACACGATTTTTCGTTTGAAATTGTATACCTGTATATCATGTACGGTGTGTAAAAAGACTTTTAGAGATAGAACTTGCCTCTCCTTAGCTGTCCCTGTATAAACACAGCCCAGCTACATTTATTATAGTGGATAGATAACAAATCAATATACAGAGCGTTTTACCAGCGGTTTGGAAAAAAGTCCGGAGTTTCTTGGTAGAATGGGCGTGCGCTTCCGCGAGCTTTTCCTGAGCCAGAGACATATATAACTAATGTGATATATACGTCTCTGCCTGAGCTGATAATAACGAGACGTAAAACCTTCCGGAGCAAACGATAAATAGCGGAGACTGAAAAAAGTTATATAAATATTAAAAGCAGAAGTGAACGTGTGTAGTTTTCTTACAAAGAAAACTTCAGTGGGTGGGTTGAATCCTAAATCTTAACATACCTACACAGTCAAATGTTACACTTAGATTTTTGTCAGAGGTTTCTGTCACACATTTCTTGACAAAATCCAACTGCTTTTGTTGTAGTTTGAAGGCTGTGGCTATCTTATGCTATTCTAATTTTGGCTTGGTTACTGCCGATATCGACAAATTCACAAAATCTCGGATAGATAGTTGGTAACGCTTCCGACTACTTTTGTAGTTGCTGGCAACAACGAACAACAACTGTACACCATAGTGTACATAACTTGATATCTAAGACACCCAATATACATATACTTGTAGAAACAACATCTGATGACGGACATATTTCTGATTTGGGACTCCGGTTTCATAATTCCACATGACAGTCAAAGGATGTCAAAGCTGATGCATATTTTGTTTTTGCGGCGTTGAGCACCAACTCTTTGTGCTGCAAAATTAATTTGGGTTGTTATGTATATTTTACATGGATAGTAACAAATGGAGTTATAAAAGTTATGTCAAATTTGCATTGCTCCCAAGAGGGAAAAAAGGCTGTAGTCATGTTAATGTCTTTCATTCCCTACATTTCCAGATTTCTCAGTTTTCGTCTCCTAGTGTCACTGAAGGGAAAGAATGAAACAGGATTGAGTTTAATTCATTATTTGACTTATAAAGAGGCGTTGTTTCGTTTCGTTTTACTCCACTTTGTTGGAAAGACAAATGACATGTAGGTGTACGTATGGTAGCCGATTTCCGCCTTTTCGCGCATGGTTGTTTTTAACGCGAAAAAACACCAAACGGCGGGTTTCGCTTTAAATTCCTCAAGCGAAAACACGAAAAGGCGTCGTTTAAAACTTTTCGCGAAACTTTTGTCGCCTTTTAGCTTTGTTGAATTTATTATAAACCCGCCGAACGCCTCTTTTCCGCGTCGTGAAGTAAACGCGAAAATCCACCGCCTTCGGTGGGGAAAATGGCACATTCACAATAAGGCAATCGAAATTATATGGTGATGTTAATACAAAAGAGTTTAGCACGTTGATAATGAATAATCATGTACAAAACATTCACGACTCGACCAAAGAATCGATATCTAATGGGTCCTGTTCTTAACAAAACTCTACAGCTTTATCAGTACATTAGAAAGCACCGCATCATACAGCTCGTCTGTGTGCTGAGGACTCGCATTGTTGAAAATTGATTGGGGGGAATGTCAAATAAGTTCTAAAAGAATGGGCTTGTATAGTATACTGTTTTATAGGATACGTAACCCCCTGTACGGCCTGTAATGGGGTGAGAACTCGAGAGACTAACTTTTCTGTGTAGTATAATGTTAAAGAATACGTAACCCCCTGTACGGCCTGTAATGGGGTGAGAACTCGAGAGACTAACTTTTCTGTGTAGTATAATGTTAAAGGATACGTAACCCCCTGTACGGCCTGTAATGGGGTGAGAACTCGAGAGACTAACTTTTCTGTGGTGTATAATGTTAAAGGATACGTAACCCCCTGTACGGCCTGTAATGGGGTGAGAACTCGAGAGACTAACTTTTCTGTGTAGTATAATGTTAAAGGATACGTAACCCCCTGTACGGCCTGTAATGGGGTGAGAACTCGAGAGACTAACTTTTCTGTGGTGTATAATGTTAAAGGATACGTAACCCCCTGTACGGCCTGTAATGGGGTGAGAACTCGAGAGACTAACTTTTCTGTGTAGTATAATGTTAAAGGATACGTAACCCCCTGTACGGCCTGTAATGGGGTGAGAACTCGAGAGACTAACTTTTCTGTGTAGTATAATGTTAAAGGATACGTAACCCCCTGTACGGCCTGTAATGGGGTGAGAACTCGAGAGACTAACTTTTCTGTGTAGTATAATGTTAAAGGATACGTAACCCCCTGTACGGCCTGTAATGGGGTGAGAACTCGAGAGACTAACTTTTCTGTGTAGTATAATGTTAAAGGATACGTAACCCCCTGTACGGCCTGTAATGGGGTGAGAACTCGAGAGACTAACTTTTCTGTGTAGTATAATGTTAAAGGATACGTAACCCCCTGTACGGCCTGTAATGGGGTGAGAACTCGAGAGACTAACTTTTCTGTGTAGTATAATGTTAAAGGATACGTAACCCCCTGTACGGCCTGTAATGGGGTAAGAACTCGAGAGACTTTCTGTGTAGTATAATGTTATAGGATACGTAACCCTGTTTACAGAGTAGGGATGTTTTAACCGTTTTTTCCACTGCACATTTCATTACTCATTAACCTGATATCCTTCCACAACCTGCTTTTTTACTTATCTAATTATCTTTTTTACACGTTAAGCACCCCCTCCCCATCTCAAACATTACATGACACAATATATCTTTATCAATTTCACATGGCAGGTGACATAAGGATACTTTCTGATGGTTTTCTCACCGACACCTCTTTCTACTAACGAGTGATTTAAGGATAATTTCTTTATATTCTATTTACTTGTGCAATATGAAGTTGATGTCTTTGATGCTCTTAAGTATGCTCTTTGTTGTTTACATTGTTCTCATTTGGAGTACATGGCATTATCTATTTTGATTAAGCAACATTTACTTAGCCATGTCGTGAATAAAGCAAAAAAAGTTTACCCTTTCAGGTTCCCAAACTTATTCTCCTTGTGTATCAGGACCCCAAAATTATTCTCCTTGTTTATTTTTTCACTAATTTCCATGTAAATCATCATTTTGTTCTTATTTAAAGAATAAAAAAAACTTTTATGATACAACAATTCCAAAGCAAGATACCATCTTATATTAATCACCTTTGTTGACCTGAGTGTTCCTTACAACAGCTTGGGGAAACCCACATGGTTGGGCAGGTGACCTTGTAATTTTTCACCTCCCCTTGGGGAAGAGAGCCCCAGATGTCTAAGTGAAGGGTGAGTAAATATAAACTTTATTTATTTTACAACAATTGCGAAACAAGTTATGTCAGCTTATACTAATCACTCTTGTTGGCCCGGATGTAAGCGCGCGAGGGGTATTAGTGTGGGAGGAAACCGGAGTACCCGGGGAAAACCCACATGGTCAGGCAGGTGACCCCTTACCTTTTCACATAAAAGGGTGAGTACATTACCAATGTGCCACCCGACCACCCAATTTGTTTATATTTCTCCCTGGTTTCCTTTGATTTACATCTGAATTCAGATTCCATACACCTGCTGCATTAGCTAATCAATACAAAAGGCCTAGAGGGCCTGTATTTCTCACATTATCATTATTAACATAACAGTCTTAAGGGCCTGTTGACACATAAAAGGTCATTAGGTCCATCAACCAGTGATGGTTTTGTCACATGTCCTGTAATCCTTGTTAAAGGGGGCGATGTACATTACAAATTATATAGAATGCAATGATACTTGAAAAACTCGAGGCATGTATGGTACAATTTCAATAAAATGATATAAAACAACATCACAGTAAAACTGATTATTCTGCGATACCTTACAGATCTCAATCTGATCAACAGTTATCTACTTTTATGTGTGTTCACTAGGAATGTTGTTTTGTAGGGTAGTCACCATACTCCATCAACTCACAATCATGTTATAACTACCTGTATAAAGTTCACTTTTTCTCTGTAAGATCAAACACGTTCTGGATCATTACCTGACAGTGTACAACATCAAAACTAAGGCAATCATCATAAAAACAAAGGCAACAGACAATTCAGGACCTAGTTCCTTAATGATCAAAATCAGAATATTTAAAAATGTTCATTTCCTATTTTGAATTATACATCTGACTCAGTTTTCACAAAGGGTAATTGTTTTGTTTTAAGGAATGAAAACAAGGAGAGTTTACATTTTAGTTCATATTTATTAACATGATTTAAAAAGCCTTACAATGGGGAAATTGGTAACACTACTGGTATGGAACAGAGAGGCTGCATGGTTACCAATATTACCTGACTCAGTAAAGGAATACAGTAATAAAATCCTGTGCATCACTGGAGCAATAGCATCAGACAGAAGACGGTTTCCTTGACAAACCTGTGGGGTTCATTGCATTATGCTGTGTGCCAGGCCATTCAAAAGATCCATTTGACTCTCACAACATGCCAAATAGACAGGACTATGACAATGAGGCAAGGATAAAGTCCCCTTACTCCCTCACACACATTGAACTCCAATGAACTAATGTAAAGGACATAAAACCTTGTCAACCAACTCACAAAATCATGTGCAGTTAAGCATTGACATGCTAATATTTGGAGTCTTTCTCTTATATGTAACCTGATATTCACATCTACTTTTTGTAGTTGATCTATGCAGCGTAACACCATAAAATACTTTAGTCACTAAAGTCAGTAATCATTTAGCCTCTACAATGTCACTCAAAGTCATTGACAACAAGTGAATAATTCTTCTCTTCTACACACGTATAGGAGGATGGTATTGTGTTAAAATTTTACAATATTTTAATGAGTTAAATGTTCTTCATATGGTTAATTAGTTAACATATAATAAATATAATGTTTATAAGATTTATCATGTAATGAAGAGCGACTGCCTCAAACAGCAGATTTTGAAGCATTCAGACCCTTACCCAGTTCAGTGCCTGTATATATTCAAAGCATTCACATACCAACTAGCATGATAATGCCAAAATTGTCAGTATCAGGTATACAAAATAACTGTATTTTCTTGCTGAAACAAAATATGAAAGATTATCAATAACATCATAATATACACAACATCATTTTTATATATTACCTGACACAACAATATACAGACACACCACTTATTGCAAGAACCTGACAAAACCAGTTGTCTCCCCTGTCAATAATTCTGCTTAATTTGAACATAATTTCATTTTCTTATTTATCTTAAGCACAGTCTTATCACATAAATACAAATACAATTTTCTGAAAGCATCTATCATGATGAACCAGACCAGAAATGCCTCCCAATAATAATCTCCTACAGATTACCACAGGAGGATTGACTATCCTGACCCAGCCTGGAATAGTGGATAGTAACCAAGGGTTTTACCTCAATTAGAACACATTATGGGACTTAAAGAAAAGCATGAGACCACAAACGTGGGGTTAGGTGAAGCAAATTTAAACAGCCTTGCATATTAAGGAACAGAGGGGATGAACATAATAATGAAGCTCATTTACCACCGTACATATGAATTTGAGTCCAAGTACAAGTTGTACTGCAAGAACCTGGACTGTACTCAGTCATTAAACACTGCTGCTCCTTGTACACCATCATCTGGTCCCTTCAATTGGAATCTTTTAGTTCACTTACATCTTCTGATTTATCTGGAATGTTACTGTCTGATTGGATAACTTTGGAATCTTCTGGTATTGCTGTGTCTAATTGGATGGCTGTAACCTCTTCTGTATTTTTGTTACCATTGGTAACAGCGTCCTTGATATCACTGTCTTCACTCGATGCTGACTTGTCTGATTGAATGGTTTTAAGCTCCTCTGTATCTTTGTTACCCTCAGTACCATTGTCTTTTGTATCACTGCTGTCCGTGAAATCTGATTGCTGTTTATTTTCCCCAACTGTAGCCTCATTCTCGTCCACATAGATAATGTCCTCTGGGGCTGGAGGTCGTGGCAGGAATTCCTCATCTGGCATTATGTCAGCAAAGATCTGACGGGTCTGTTAAAAGTAAACACTTCGGAAGTCACCAAATACTGATGGGTAAACTACATATTTAAATGTTACACAAGATATTATAACATCATACTATAAATACAGAAAATTTCTATAGTTGGTACTCTTGGTCTTAGCCAATCACAACATGACATCAGTAAGAAATGCTCGTTAATGAAGAACTGTATTTTGATCACTAGACACCTGAGAAGCAATGTATTGAATATCATTACATAAATCTTATCATGTAGAACATATTTATGATGACAAGTGGACCATACCTGAGTCACAACATCATTAAGGTCTATTTCTGGCCCAGGTCCCGGCAACAATATAATGTTATCAGGAGTGGCCTCCCCTCTTTCTAAATCTTCATAATAAGTGTGACTGAAGTACAAGGACCACAGAACATTAGGCTTATCATCATCTGGAATAGGAATGTAATTAGCTTGATCATTGTGCAATGACAATGAAGTACGAATATCACACAGTAGGCATTGTATTATAGACAGTGCTACAACAAGGGATTCAAGGGGGATCTTGGTGCCAATCACCTTTGTTAGATCTTTATTTGTTCATTTAAAGTTAGGTCTTTTCCTTTCTTTTCTCTGTTGCTGCTCTTAATTTCGTGAAAATTGAAAATGCTTCTAAATGCTCTAAAAGCAACAGACATAACAATCTCAAAATTGATGATGACCTCTGTCAGCCATTTTTTCAAGATTAGTTCCAAAATAAAAGGATACACAACAAAGGACAAGGAGGAGCCTATATCATATGAAATTTAAGAAAGATCCGTCCCGTACTCTCAAGAAATAGCAATAAAAAAAACTTTCCTTGTCAAAATCTAAAATGGTTGCTGTCAGCCATTTTGTATCCTGATTGATCCCAAAATCATATGGATACAGCTGGGGACCAAAAGGAACCCTTGTATGATAGCTGAATAAGATTTATAGAGTATTTCTTAAAAAGTACGCATAACCAGAACTGCTTAAGTACTGTCAACGAACGGATGATGGACCAGACAAACGGCAATTAGCACAGCCCACCATCTAATGATGGTGTACTTAAAAAGAAGGAGATCACAAAACTGACAGTAAAAGGCTGTGGTAGTCCTTAAAATTTGATGATAATGTTTCCTACCTGATGGATCAAATAACAAGTTTGTGACAGTCCTCAGATCCTCTCGGGGATGGAAATCTCCTGATCCTGGCCTCGTCATGTGTACAGCATCTGGTAAAAAATAATGTCAATTTCACAAGAACTTTACAGCATTACTATATGATTGGCATTGATAAAACACTGGAAAATCTAGCAAATTTTGAAAGAGAAATCAGTTTCCTGATTTGACAAAGACAATCTGAACTTTAGTGAGCTATAACAACACTGTCATGTTGCTAAGCAACCATGAATTCTCCATGAAATTTCATGCAAGAATGTGATCAACATTTATATTAACACAAAAAATGTGTAAAATGCATGAAGAGAAACCCTTGTTTGTTTGCAGAACATACACCACCTTGGCAGAGAGGAATTAGATAATGCATGGGGAGTTTATAGCAAAACAAGTTTTGGTAATATGTGATGATGGCTAATTCACTTGTACAAAGGTGTGACCTGTTAGACAAATCATGGACAATGGGAACAGTTCTAGTACTATCAGTATAAAGGATTTACAGAGGCCTTGTGGACAAATCATGGACAATGGGAACAGTTCTAGTACTATCAGTATAAAGGATTTACAGAGGCCTTGTGGACAAATCATGGACAATGGAAACAGTTCTAGTACTATCAGAGTAAAGGACTTACAGAGGCCTTGTGGACAAATCATGGACGATGGGAACAGTTCTAGTACTATCAGAGTAAAGGACTTACAGAGGCCTTGTGGACAAATCATGGACGATGGGAACAGTTCTAGTACTATCAGAGTAAAGGACTTACATAGGCCTTGTGGACAAGTCATGGATGATGAGGGCAGTTCTAGTACTGCTGTGGGTCGATTTCCATCATCAGAATTTTGTAAGTGCATCAATGACAGCTACAATAATAAGTGCAGTTGCAGTTTGTTATCAAGGAGAATATAAGATCTGTTGGTATCTTAACCTCACATTTTAAGGAGAAAAATGAAACTCTCAAAGGCAATAAAATGGGTTTATTAAGAAATTGTTCAACTTTGGTATATTGGTATTGGTCATTATTGTGACATAAGGTCCTTTACTATATTTTGTGAACTTATTTCAAGTTACTTTAAGCAGACTTCATTTAGTTTGTCACAAAGATTGTTTCAAGCTTTCTCATTGGGGAAATTCTTTTTAGTTTACACTACCGTTATTTTGAAATTTACAGAATTTTCAGAAAAAATATCATAAAATGCCACAAAACTTCGTCTGGATAGCTTTTTAAACCTAAACTGTAGGTTTTTCAAAAAACAAAAAAACCTGGCATGAGTAAGCTTAGTGGTTAATTATTTATTATGTAATGCTTGGAGATCAGATAATATAGATAATATAAAGTAAACAGATTTGTCAGGAAGAATAGAAATATATGTCATCATTACAATACTGCTATTTCTCAGGTTTTACAGATTGTATACGAGTCTCAGAAATATTTACCTGTTGATCTTTGGTAGGTAAAACTGACCTATCTGTGATAAAAATGCCTCGATTCACATGTCTGAAATATAAATAGGAAACTGTTTCCTACTAAAGTCTATACAGAACAAACGGTAAACATATGTACTTCATACACCTCTGTTTTAGAAATAAGTTATGTTAGTTTCTCATCTTGTAGTTCTCCATGCTTAAGAGAAATAATATTGTACTGCTGTTTAAGAAGTTCCCTAAAAGTCAGATAGGATGTATTCCAGATATTTACCTTTAGAATCTTTAAATAGTTAATGATTTTCAGACTAACACTTACCGTTTTGCCTGATATTTCATGTCTTCTTTGTTGGCATATGATGATTCCATGATTAAATACCTGTAATGAAGACAAAGTTCTTGGTAACCTTTTTAATGAAAATAACTTTCTCTGATATTATATGATCTGTTTCTGACAGTATTTAAAATCAGGGTTTTATACACTTCAAAATTAGATTTTGAGAGGTTTTTCATGTTTTCTCAAAAGGAAGGCGATAATGATTGTCTGATAATTAGAAATATCAGTTTGTAACATAGCTAAGTTACATACCTGCAGTTAATTCGTTGTCCATTCGTCAGAACAACTCCTTTACATCTGCAATAGAATATACAATACAAGTTATACACTAATACATGGGATGACAACAGAGTTCTCTGTCATAGAATGAAACAAGAGTGCCGTGGACACAATATATGCCACCAAATATAAAGATCAAGATTGGTCCTTTTAATTATTGCTTTTAACATGTCTGTATACATAAGCTCAAAACGAAGTCTGTAAGACCAGTTCACTTAGCTGGAAGAGACAAGGACCAGCAGTCATCCAAGATGCAGATTTCTTTATCCCCAAACTTCCAGTGCATATGAGATGTTGGCAGATTGTTCGAATCTCTATCAAAATGGCCGAACTGAAAAATGGCAATGGCTGCCACAAAATCGGCAACAGAGAAAAAGTTGAAAATGTCATAAATCTTACAGAAATCAATGAACTGTAAAATCGCCACTTCCAGCACATCCACCCATTGTAGTAGTGACATAGAGCAAGTTTTGTGTAAATCTGACCATTAGTTTAGGAGGAGTTACATTCACAAAGCTCCACTAAGAGCAAGCTACAGATACAAAGTTGAAAATGGCATAAATCTTACAAAAATCAATGAACCAAAAAATCGTCCCTTCATGCACATCTACCCATTGTAGTAGTGACATTGAGCAAGTTTCATGAAAATCTGATGATTCTTTTAGGAGGAGTTGCGTTCACAAGAAATGGACGTATGAATTGACGGACGTACAGTGTGATGGATGTACCGTCGCACAGACGGAGAAGATGACGCCAATATACGCATATAAAAAGAGCTCCCTATCATAAAGTGGCAAGAGTTCCCTACCATAAAGCAAGAAAAGCACCTCCCACCAATAGCATAACAAAAGAGCACCATCCAATCAAGTAACTAAAGAGCTTCCTACTTTAGAGCAACGAAAGAGATCCCTTCCATAAAGTAACAAATAGCTCCCTACCAATTTGTAAAAAGAGCACCCTTCCGTAAAGTGACAAAAGAGCTCCCTACCAATGAGACAAAATACCTCCCTCCCATAAAATAACAAAAGGTTCTCCCTCACAGCATGACAAAGTAGCTCCATTCCATAAAATAACAAAAGAGCTTCCTACCTTATATAAAGAGTGACAAAAGAGCTCCCTACCTTAGAGTGACAAAAGCACTCCCTACCTTAGAGTGACAAAAGCACTCCCTACCTTAGAGTGACAAAAGAGATCCCTACCTTAGATAGACAAAAGCGCTCCCTTCCATAAAGTAACAAATGAGCTCCCTATCAAAGAGCAACAACAGAATTCCCTACTGCATCACTCTGTTGGTCCCTATACTTACTTGTTCTCACCATATATGACAGCACTAATAGCAGTACGTAAGCAGTAAACTCCACCAAACACTGCACACATCCTGAAGATTAAAACACACAACCTTATCATGTATACATATACACCAAATCACACACAGTGTTATGACATTACTTCTATACAGCAGTGTGCTCAATGTTTGATAAACAACTCAGATATAAAGAATATAATGATAAATTAGGATTATTCTAAAATAACTTTGCCAATAAAACTTGTAACACTTCATTGATGAAAATATTCAGAGGTCCCTGACTACATAAAAGTATAGAGTATCCAGAAAAATTTTAACTGAGCTCTAAAACTCTCCATCAGCTTACCGACAAAAGCTCTGTGGGAGCTCTCCACTGCCATAAAGGGGCCATAGGAAAGCTGTGTTTCCATAGCGACCGAGTGAGTGTAGGAATTTTTTTGTTCTTGCTAACCCCTATATAATAACAAAATAGTAAATGCTTTTAACAGGTTGCATGTACCACAACATGTGGTTTGTGAGTATGGTCACCTGAATGAGCTCCCACGCCCTAATCAGATGTGATAAGGTTTGGTGTGTATCATCTATTATAATGAAGGATGAAGTTAAAATTTAATGACAACATTCAAAGTACAGCAACTTTAATGACATAGGAAACAAAACATTTATTAAAATGATCAGGGAAATGAAGTGTTACCTTTGGCTGTCATTCTGTCATCATTTTGTTTCCACTCATTTAAGCTTTAAAATAAAACTTCAATTACAGCTGGTTAATATCACCCAGGACAGGTCCCAATATCTTACCTCTGTTGTTGTCATGGTGTCTGTTACCATGGCAATGGAATGTTGTACAAAATGGCATATATTTTCAGTCAACTTTTGTGATTTCAAGAAGTCCTTAAAAGGTTTATCTGCAAAATCTGAAATATCAAGCAAACAAAAATTTGATCTCGCATGCAGATGAACATTTGCAAGTTCATATCACATATTTTCATATCTTATCAGGAACAACGTGCATCATCTTAATAAATACATAAAAAATATCATCAAAATAGATCTTCACACACACAAGTGTAGCAAAACAATATCAAACTACCAATCTTAAACCCAAGGTAATATACTTTATCTTTATTACTTCAATTGTAAAATGATGAATCGATATGTATTGTGGAAAATCTAGAGTAAATTTTATTATGACCTGTTGAGACTTGGTATCTAGTACTACACAATCTCATGAATACACAACTATTATATGATGTATGTCCTGCCATTTCTCAAGATCCAAAACCTGGAAAACAGCCTATGAGAAGAGATAGTAACTGCTTAATTGTGAAAACATGTTCCTTCATCCAACTTGAAACTATAATCAGAATTCATCTTTACTTGGTTAACTAAAGTGATTAACAGAAATAGATCTCTGAATGTAGTTCTTCATCTATGACTGATGTATAAATAAACCAATGAATTCCACAGACCTCTGTACTGGTGTTCATGGTTAGTATAATCAGCACAGAAGGTGAGTAGTTTCATCAGCATTCGTTTCTCCAGCATGGATACCTCTTTACTACTGAACACATCAGCCCGAGAACATGGAACCTACACAACAACAGTAGCAGTGTTCAATCATATCATTCTACTAAAACCAAAATTTTCAGGATTTAAACTATTATCACTAAGATGACTAAACTCAGTCTCTATAGAACCTCTCTACATGTGTTTATTTTCTATGTTGTTCTAAACTCACAGTACTTAGCTGTATCAGAGGATATCTTACCTTCTCTAGTTTGTCCTTGATGAAGGTCAGAACCCTTGTCACAGTCCTAAACTCACAGTACTTAGCTGTATCAGAGGCTATCTTACCTTCTCTAGTTTGTCCTTGATGAAGGTCAGAACCCTTGTCACAGTCCTAAACTCACAGTACTTAGCTGTATCAGAGGATATCTTACCTTGTCTAGTTTGTCCTTGATGAAGGTCAGAACCCTTGTCACAATACTAAACTCACAGTACTTAGCTGTATCAGAGGATATCTTACCTTGTCTAGTTTGTCCTTGATGAAGGTCAGAACCCTTGTCACAGTCCTAAACTCACAGTACTTAGCTATATCAGAGGATATCTTACCTTGTCTAGTTTGTCCTTGATGAAGGTCAGAACCCTTGTCACAGTCCTAAACTCACAGTACTTAGCTGTATCAGAGGATATCTTACCTTCTCTAGTTTGTCCTTGATGAAGGTCAGGACCCTTGTCACAGTCCTAAACTCACAGTACTTAGCTATATCAGAGGATATCAGTAATTCCACCATGTTTCCTGCACAATACAGCAACTGGAACAAATCATTAAAAAATGTTAAGCAAATAAAAGTCTGTGACATTATCAATGCACAATTTTCATAGGAAATCATACACTGACACACACACATCATCCTGACTTAAAGGCTGGTAAGACAAAGACTACTAAATACATTAGAAAGAAGGCATTAAAGCAATAGACTGTTTAATACTAACCCTGGGTGCTAAGTCGAGGTTAAATTTACGCCACTCCATCTTTAGTTTAGAAGCTGTCCATGGCTGTGGTTTCTTACTTTCCCTTCCCTCAGCTTTCTCTGTAGTATTTTCCTTACTAGGAGATTTATCACTGGTACCATCAGCTTTTTGTTCAGTTATTGTCGCTGGTTCTTTGTTAGATTCAGATTCTTCATTTTCCTCTCCTGGTGGAGATGACAAATCTTTGTTAGAGTGATCATTTTCTTTGCTTCCTTTTGCCTCATCTTGACTAGATTCATCTGTTTTTTCCTTGTCACTTTCCTTTGCTGGATCAGCTTTATCCAAAACCTTTTCTTCGTCACTAAAATAATTAAAGTGTAAAATAAAAATGTAAGTGGAAATAAATGAAAATATCTGTGAGAATAGTTTATGCCTGGTGAAATAAAAAAAACCCAGATAGGAAATTGTTGTGAAAAAATAGGTAACACAGCAGGTATATATATCATTTCTCAGTAGACAATCCAAGCATCTTTACCACAACAAAATCAGGACATAACATAGAATACGCCTATCAAGACTGGTCCTACTTGTATCAAACTGTAAAGGAAGTTAAAAAGTTACATCTAATTCATGGAGCCATGAAACTCCTGTAGGATTTTAAATGTCATAAAATCATAATACAAAACCCATACATTTCTGGAAAATTTCTGCAATTTGTTGTAAAATTGGAATAACTATATACATCTATAAACCACAGTGTGCTCTTACCTGACATGGTATTCTGAGGTTATATTGAAGTAGGTTTTGTCATTTACTGACAAGTCTAATCTTGACAGGGTCTCCCCAGGCTGTAAAAGTGTATCCTCCTGTATGGTGGGGTGTTCTAGGTCACATTCACCTGTCACCTGTTACAAGTAATTCATGGTTTTCATCAGAAAAATAAAAGTTCTTTTTAACCTCAATAATGTAACCACTCATTTGATATTATGATGATTCAAACATCTTCAAAAGTATCAATCACTTCCCAACTGAAGTTAACTTCAAGTCTAGAGGGGTTAATAAACAAAGCAAGCTTCCTTTCAGTCTTAAGTCAAAATCAAGTACCAATTTCTTATTGAAAGTACATATCTGTAATTGTTTTCTTTAACAAATTATGATAAACTAATTATATAACCAACTAATTACCTCTTTCATCCATTTGTTAATATTTTCTAGATTAAAAGAAGCCCATTGTCCACTGTAGTATTCATTCCTGTTGACATGATAAAACAAGTATAGTTTAACATACTGTGGTAATCACATTATCCATACAGTTTTATCCTTATAATACTTCAGACATTTTGTTTTCTTATAAATTTCCAACACATAAAACACATTTGGGTTATTATATCATCAAAAGCCTGAGGTTGCTTTTGTGTCCATCCTTGCAAAACTGAACATTTAATATCAAATAATTTTGGTAAAATTATGCTACTCACCAATATATTTTATTTATTTTATCATTGAGACTGCAAAATCGGTGCCTCTACATGGAACTGTGACAGTTTACTTACTAGAATATGTATACTCATCACATGACAAAGGAAGACAGCAATATACATGAACTAATGACCTACCTGTCGATGTGTAACACTTTCTGGCCGACTCTGGACAAAGCTGCAGCCAGAATACTCTCAGGCATCCCTACAGGATAAAATAATGCAACAAGCAGTTTAATGTAATATTGAATCTTTCAAACCAACAAAGTAATTACTTCTTGACTCTATCATCCAAAATAGCAAATTACATGTCTCACATGCCTCAGTGTCCCTGCTTTGACTCATTGAAATGATTTGGTCCATTAGTACATATTACAAAAAATTCTTATATAATTAGCTGAAAATTAACTTGATCTATCTAATATTACATATTCAATAATTCAAAGTTGTGTACAACATTACAACTTACATATATCTGAAAAATATTGAAATTGTTAGCAATCAATTATCCAAATTCTGTAAAATTTCAAGTTTGCCCCCAAAATAAAATATACAAAATACCAAAAAATATAAATATGTACTGTATCTGAGTATTCCAAATATCCATTTGTCATGACTGGAGTTGTATATCTGCTGTGACCAGAACTTGCTTGTTATATTATATAGGTATATATGTGAAAGTTGAGAGTACTGGTCGCTTTACTAGCCTCTGCTAGTAGGTATTTTCCTTTAGTCGAGTGGCAGGGTATTCATCTAGAGAGGAAAGGGTCAATTCAAACCACTATTGGAGTTTTCCTTCACTTCTTCCTATCATAAATTGATGCCATTGACCACTTGAAGGGCAGAAGCTACAGGATATTGAGATGCTTCTTTGGAAACGTTGTGATCTTTGGGGATGAAGACTCTATGATGGAGGAAGCAGTGTACATGCATGTACTGTATATTACTTAACTTTCTGTAAGACTAACATGGCTAGGGACTAGGGTTATAAACATGATTTCTAAACATTATGTGGAAGCCAATTTCAACAAAAAATCAAATGATTTGTAATAACATGACAACTACCAAATTATCATGCTGTTTAATATAAACATGTGCAAAAAATAGACCATATTGTCAGATTATACAACATTGTGAACATGTCAGTACAGTTTGTGAAATACACTCTTCATAGAATGACAAATTGGGATTAAACTTTCACCAGCAGAACATTTTCAGTCTACCTAAACAATGTATTTTTTCGAATATGACACAATGTATTGATTAGTGGGTTACCTGTGCCCAATACGATCACGTCAAAGTCGCCTGGTAGATCGTCTGCCATGTTGGTTTGTTTATCTAAAGAAAGCCAAACTTTGGTATATTATTTTCTTATGCCCTTTTTTATAGAAGACTTGATATAATTTTTTCAGTTAGTTAAAATGGATTTAAATTTTTATATGAAATAAACATATTGCTATCGTTCTACACATAGTAAGTATGGCTAATATTGTTGATAAATTTTATACGAAACTGAAGCTGACATCAGTGGGTTACACCCCCCGGTTCCTAGTTTCATTTTTACTAGATCGAGACTACAACAGACCTAACGATCGAACGTTAATGTATCAGCAGTATACATTATGTAATACCGTAATGTATGTTTTTTTTTTTAAATATTCCTAACAATCTGTTTTAACTAGAAATGATTAACATTGGTTCAACACGAACAACCTAAACTGTACCATTCACTTTCAGGGAACAATTCACGAAAAACTTCACACAATATATGTAGTTGTTTTATAAGTGGTCACATATTGGTTTTCCATATGCAGTCCTGATATAGTATAACACTTGGTTTATACGAACAAGATAATTACAGTGAACTTGATACCACCGATTAACAGGGGCTACGAAGTTGGGCAAAGTGATTGTCACTTACTATACATTTATATGATGATAAAACAAAATCTGTTGTAGTTGTCACACATTTATTATATCACTGCCTGCCATGTAAAGTGACAAATTCTTACCATAATCTATTTCATTATTAACTTGTCTATTATAGCCATATCCTTGTGTAGTACGAAGGAGTAAGGAAAAACATCCTGCATACCCGGCGTAGTTAAAGCTAGCTACACTTTGGCCTGTAGACACTTTATCACTCGACTATAGGGAAATTCCCATTAGCCAAGGCTTGTAAAGCAACCTGACCTTTCAACTTCAACAATAGAAAGGAGTAATGAAAAACACTGTGTCCCGCTGATAGACCATACTTGGCATATGGACATGTATTGTTGCATAAGTATTAGTGATGGGGTTTTTTACAGATTATTACAGTTACTATGGTGATTTCAGCTGCATAGCCCATCAGCTAACTTTTGTGGCTGTGCAGAAAATGTGGTGTTCTGAAGTAAAGCATTGAGCACAGTCGAAAGTATACAGATGTGTGTCAGTAGAATTACAATTTATTATTGATTAATTTTCTCATTATTGCTGTTATTTTTCAGCATATACCCAAATTATACTAGGATGTCAATGCTTGGCCAAGCAGAATTTGGAGTGACAACATTTTTCACTAGAAGCCACCCCAATGACAAATGTGGAGCCAATGGTCTTCCTCTCACACCAAATTCAGTCAAAGTTTTGGGACGTTTCCAGAACCTTAAACATCTTCATCATCCACGGATCTGTAAATATCTGGACATTGTCAAGGACAAGCATGGTATGTGAACATGTGTTAACTTGTAACCAGTTATAGTATTAAAACCTTAAATTAAGTACCAAATATAAATGTTGAATTACAATGATCAGTGCCTTCCAAATACAATCATTGCAGGGAAGATATACATATATAGTCTGAAGATTCTTCAGATGTTTAGCACATACAATTATCTATGAAGGTGAAGTAATTCAAAATGTTGACAACTGTAAGTTTAATGCTGATGCATATTTGTTTGACTTAGAATTAAACTAGTATTCAATAAAAATTGTAAAGTTACATATTTACACTGATAATGGATTGTTGAATGGTCATTGATGGTGTCAGCTACAAAACTTTACCCTATCATCAGGGAATTGAATGTAACAGAATATTTATCATTCAGGAATTTATTACTATAGAATATTTATCACAGGGGAATTTAATATAACAAAATAATTATCACCAGGGAATTTAATATTATAGAATATTGATCATCAGGGAATCTATTCTAATATTACAGAATAATTATCAGGAAATCTTCTCTAATATCATATAATATTCATTACTACAGAATCTATTCTAATATTATAGAATATTTTTCATAAGGGAATCAAATATTATAGAATAATCCAATTTTATTTTTCTACAGAGCGCATAGTTATTGTATCAGAGCATTACAGAAACTCTCTCAGCAGTAAATCTGGCACATTTACCAGGTAAAGACTTTGTTGTCATGATTTTAAAATCTGTGTCAGTTTATCGAATCACCATGTGATTTCTTATATTTTATTTATTATTATGGAAAACATTTTGTTTATCAGGATCAGGAGATGTATGTGCTGTGTTAAGTTATTGATGAGGTTGGATGAAAAGAAATGATCAAGTTAAAGAAGACTGTTTAATAATAGAATTTTGTTTCACGTGTATGACTTTGTATATTTTATTTCACAGTAAAGAGAAACTAACAGAGGTTGCATATGGTGTCCTGCAAGGCCTGGTCTACCTAAACACACTAGGTATCACCCACAGAAATCTATATAAACAGTTGGTTTATCATTACAGAGGTCGTGTGATAGTTGGCCATGTATGGTCTGTACTATATAAACAGTTGGTTTATCATTACAGGGTCGTGTGAAGTTGGCTGGGTATGGTCTGTACTATATAAAAAGTTGGTTTATCATTACAGGGTCGTGTGAAGTTGGCTGGGGTTGGTCTGTACTATATAAACAGTTGGTTTATCATTACAGGGTATGGTTGGCTGGGTATGGTCTATATATAAACAGTTGGTTTATCATTACAGGGTCGTGTGAAGTTGGCTGGGTATGGTCTGTACTATATAAACAGTTGGTTTATCATTACAGGGTCGTGTGAAGTTGGCTGGGTATGGTCTGTACTATATAAACAGTTGGTTTATCATTACAGGGTCGTGTGAAGTTGGCTGGGTATGGTCTGTACTATATAAACAGTTGGTTTATCATTACAGGGTCGTGTGAAGTTGGCTGGGTATGGTCTGTACTATATATATCATTACAGGGTCGTGTGAAGTTGGCTGGGTCTGGTCTGTAGTTGGTTTATCATTACAGGGTCGTGTGAAGTTGGCTGGGTATGGTCTGTACTATATAAACAGTTGGTTTATCATTACAGGGTCGTGTGAAGTTGGCTGGGTATGGTCTGTACTATATAAACAGTTGGTTTATCATTACAGGGTCGTGTGAAGTTGGCCGGGTATGGTCTGTACTATATAAACAGTTGGTTTATCATTACAGGGTCGTGTGAAGTTGGCTGGGTATGGTCTGTACTATATAAACAGTTGGTTTATCATTACAGGGTCGTGTGAAGTTGGCCGAGTATGGTCTGTACTATATAAACAGTTGGTTTATCATTACAGGGTCGTGTGAAGTTGGCTGGGTATGGTCTGTACTATATAAACAGTTGGTTTATCATTACAGGGTCGTGTGAAGTTGGCTGGGTATGGTCTGTACTATATAAACAGTTGGTTTATCATTACAGGGTCGTGTGAAGTTGGCTGGGTATGGTCTGTACTATATAAACAGTTGGTTTATCATTACAGGGTCGTGTGAAGTTGGCTGGGTATGGTCTGTACTATATAAACAGTTGGTTTATCATTACAGGGTCGTGTGAAGTTGGCTGGGTATGGTCTGTACTATATAAACAGTTGGTTTATCATTACAGGGTCGTGTGAAGTTGGCTGGGTATGGTCTGTACTATATAAACAGTTGGTTTATCATTACAGGGTCGTGTGAAGTTGGCTGGGTATGGTCTGTACTATATAAACAGTTGGTTTATCATTACAGGGTCGTGTGAAGTTGGCTGGGTATGGTCTGTACTATATAAACAGTTGGTTTATCATTACAGGGTCGTGTGAAGTTGGCTGTGTATGGTCTGTACTATATAAACAGTTGGTTTATCATTACAGGGTCGTGTGAAGTTGACTGGGTATGGTCTGTACTATATAAACAGTTGGTTTATCATTACAGGGTCATGTGAAGTTGGCTGGGTATGGTCTGTACTACATAGAGAACTGGTTTATCATTACAGGGTCGTGTGAAGTTGGCTGGGTATGGTCTGTACTATATAAACAGTTGGTTTATCATTACAGGGTCGTGTGAAGTTGGCTGGGTATGGTCTGTACTATATAAACAGTTGGTTTATCATTACAGGGTCGTGTGAAGTTGGCTGGGTATGGTCTGTACTATATAAACAGTTGGTTTATCATTACAGGGTCGTGTGAAGTTGACTGGGTATGGTCTGTACTATATAAACAGTTGGTTTATCATTACAGGGTCGTGTGAAGTTGGCTGGGTATGGTCTGTACTATATAAACAGTTGGTTTATCATTACAGGGTCGTGTGAAGTTGGCTGGGTATGGTCTGTAGTTGGCTGGGTATGGTCTGTACTATATAAACAGTTGGTTTATCATTACAGGGTCGTGTGAAGTTGGCTGGGTATGGTCTGTACTATATAAACAGTTGGTTTATCATTACAGGGTCGTGTGAAGTTGGCTGGGTATGGTCTGTACTATATAAACAGTTGGTTTATCATTACAGGGTCGTGTGAAGTTGGCTGGGTATGGTCTGTACTATATAAACAGTTGGTTTATCATTACAGGGTCGTGTGAAGTTGGCTGGGTATGGTCTGTACTATATAAACAGTTGGTTTATCATTACAGGGTCGTGTGAAGTTGGCTGGGTATGGTCTGTACTATATAAACAGTTGGTTTATCATTACAGGGTCGTGTGAAGTTGGCTGGGTATGGTTTATCTGTAAGTTGGCTGGGTATGGTCTATATATAAACAGTTGGTTTATCATTACAGGGTCGTGTGAAGTTGGCTGGGTATGGTCTGTACTATATAAACAGTTGGTTTATCATTACAGGGTCGTGTGAAGTTGGCTGGGTATGGTCTGTACTATATAAACAGTTGGTTTATCATTACAGGGTCGTGTGAAGTTGGCTGGGTATGGTCTGTACTATATAAACAGTTGGTTTATCATTACAGGGTCGTGTGAAGTTGGCTGGGTATGGTCTGTACTACATAGAGAACTGGTTTATCATTACAGGGTCGTGTGAAGTTGGCTGGGTATGGTCTGTAAACAGTTGGTTTATAAACAGGCTGGGTATGGTCTGTATATATAAACAGTTGGTTTATCATTACAGGGTCGTGTGAAGTTGGCTGGGTATGGTCTGTACTATATAAACAGTTGGTTTATCATTACAGGGTCGTGTGAAGTTGGCGGGGTATGGTCTGTACTATATAAACAGTTGGTTTATCATTACAGGGTCGTGTGAAGTTGGCTGGGTATGGTCTGTACTATATAAACAGTTGGTTTATCATTACAGGGTCGTGTGAAGTTGGCTGGGTATGGTCTGTACTATATAAACAGTTGGTTTATCATTACAGGGTCGTGTGAAGTTGGCTGGGTATGGTCTGTACTATATAAACAGTTGGTTTATCATTACAGGGTCGTGTGAAGTTGGCTGGGTATACTATATAAACAGTTGGTTTATCATTACAGGGTCGTGTGAAGTTGGCTGGGTATGGTTTAATTGGATTAGTGTTAATGTTGATAGTTACAGGTGATTAATTGGATTAATGTTAATGTTGATAGTTACAGGTGATTAATTGGATTAGTGTTAATGTTGATAGTTACAGGTATCTCCAGTGATTAATTGGATTAGTGTTAATGTTGATAGTTACAGGTATATCCAGTGATTAATTGGATTAGTGTTAATGGTGATTAATTGGATTAGTGTTAATGTTGATAGTTACAGTTGATATAGTTACAGGTGATTAATTGGATTAGTGTTAATGTTGATAGTTACAGGTGATTAATTGGATTAGTGTTAATGTTGATAGTTACAGGTGATTAATTGGATTAGTGTTAATGTTGATAGTTACAGGTGATTAATTGGATTATCCAGTGATTAATTGGATTAATGTTGATAGTTACAGGTATATCCAGTGATTAATTGGATTAATGTTAATGTTGATAGTTACAGGTGATTAATTGGATTAGTGTTAATGTTGATAGTTACAGGTGATTAATTGGATTAATGTTAATGTTGATAGTTACAGGTGATTAATTGGATTAGTGTTAATGTTGATAGTTACAGGTGATTAATTGGATTAGTGTTAATGTTGATAGTTACAGGTGATTAATTGGATTAGTGTTAATGTTGATAGTTACAGGTGATTAATTGGATTAGTGTTAATGTTGATAGTTACAGGTGATTAATTGGATTAGTGTTAATGTTGATAGTTACAGGTGATTAAATGTTGATAGTTACAGGTGATTAATTGGATTAGTGTTAATGTTGATAGTTACAGGTGATTAATTGGATTAGTGTTAATGTTGATAGTTACAGGTGATTAATTGGATTAGTGTTAATGTTGATAGTTACAGGTGATTAATTGGATTAATGTTAATGTTTATAGTTACAGGTGATTAATTGGATTAGTGTTAATGTTGATAGTTACAGGTGATTAATTGGATTAGTGTTAATGTTGATAGTTACAGGTGATTAATTGGATTAGTGTTAATGTTGATAGTTACAGGTATATCCAGTGATTAATTGGATTAGTGTTAATGTTGATAGTTACAGGTGATTAATTGGATTAGTGTTAATGTTGATAGTTACAGGTGATTAATTGGATTAGTGTTAATGTTGATAGTTACAGGTGATTAATTGGATTAGTGTTAATGTTGATAGTTACAGGTGATTAATTGGATTAGTGTTAATGTTGATAGTTACAGGTGATTAATTGGATTAGTGTTAATGTTGATAGTTACAGGTGATTAATTGGATTAGTGTTAATGTTGATAGTTACAGGTGATTAATTGGATTAGTGTTAATGTTGATAGTTACAGGTGATTAATTGGATTAGTGTTAATGTTGATAGTTACAGGTGATTAATTGGATTAGTGTTAATGTTGATAGTTACAGGTGATTAATTGGATTAGTGTTAATGTTGATAGTTACAGGTGATTAATTGGATTAATGTTAATGTTGATAGTTACAGGTGATTAATTGGATTAGTGTTAATGTTGATAGTTACAGGTGATTAATTGGATTAGTGTTAATGTTGAATTGGATTAGTGTTAATGTTGATAGTTACAGGTGATTAATTGGATTAGTGTTAATGTTGATAGTTACATGTGATTAATTGGATTAATGTTAATGTTGATAGTTACAGGTGATTAATTGGATTAGTGTTAATGTTGATAGTTACAGGTGATTAATTGGATTAGTGTTAATGTTGATAGTTACAGGTGTGTTATTAATTGGATTAGTGTTAATGTTGATAGTTACAGGTGATTAATTGGATTAGTGTTAATGTTGATAGTTACAGGTGATTAATTGGATTAGTGTTAATGTTGATAGTTACAGGTGATTAATTGGATTAGTGTTAATGTTGATAGTTACAGGTGATTAATTGGATTAGTGTTAATGTTGATAGTTACAGGTGATTAATTGGATTAGTGTTAATGTTGATAGTTACAGGTGATTAATTGGATTAGTGTTAATGTTGATAGTTACAGGTGATTAATTGGATTAGTGTTAATGTTGATAGTTACAGGTGTGATTAATTGGATTAGTGTTAATGTTGATAGTTACAGGTGATTAATTGGATTAGTGTTAATGTTGATAGTTACAGGTGATTAATTGGATGATTAATTATAGTTACAGGTGATTAATTGGATTAGTGTTAATGTTGATAGTTACAGGTGATTAATTGGATTAGTGTTAATGTTGATAGTTACAGGTGTGTTAATGTTGAAGTTACAGGATTAATTGGATTAGTGTTAATGTTGATAGTTACAGGTATTAATTGATTAGTGTTAATGTTGATAGTTACAGGTGATTAATTGGATTAGTGTTAATGTTGATAGTTACAGGTGATTAATTGGATTAGTGTTAATGTTGATAGTTACAGGTGATTAATTGGATTAGTGTTAATGTTGATAGTTACAGGTGATTAATTGGATTAGTGTTAATGTTGATAGTTACAGGTGATTAATTGGATTAGTGTTAATGTTGATAGTTACAGGTGATTAATTGGATTAGTGTTAATGTTGATAGTTACAGGTGATTAATTGGATTAGTGTTAATGTTGATAGTTACAGGTGATTAATTGGATTAGTGTTAATGTTGATAGTTACAGGTGATTAATTGGATTAGTGTTAATGTTGATAGTTACAGGTGATTAATTGGATTAGTGTTAATGTTGATAGTTACAGGTGATTAATTGGATTAGTGTTAATGTTGAAGTTACAGGTGATTAATTGGATTAGTGTTAATGTTGATAGTTACAGGTGATTAATTGGATTAGTGTTAATGTTAATAGTTACAGGTGATTAATTGGATTAGTGTTAATGTTGATAGTTACAGGTGATTAATTGGATTAATGTTAATGTTGATAGTTACAGGTGATTAATTGGATTAGTGTTAATGTTGATAGTTACAGGTGATTAATTGGATTAGTGTTAATGTTGATAGTTACAGGTATATCCAGTGATTAATTGGATTAGTGTTAATGTTGATAGTTACAGGTGATTAATTGGATTAGTGTTAATGTTGATAGTTACAGGTGATTAATTGGATTAGTGTTAATGTTGATAGTTACAGGTGATTAATTGGATTAGTGTTAATGTTGATAGTTACAGGTGATTAATTGGATTAGTGTTAATGTTGATAGTTACAGGTGATTAATTGGATTAGTGTTAATGTAATTACAGGTGATTAATTGGATTAAATGTTGATAGTTACAGGTATTAATTGGATCAGTGATTAATTGGATTAATGTTAATGTTGATAGTTACAGGTGATTAATTGGATTAGTGTTAATGTTGATAGTTACAGGTGATTAATTGGATTAGTGTTAATGTTGATAGTTACAGGTGATTAATTGGATTAGTGTTAATGTTGATAGTTACAGGTGATTAATTGGATTAGTGTTAATGTTGATAGTTACAGGTGATTAATTGGATTAGTGTTAATGTTGATAGTTACAGGTGATTAATTGGATTAGTGTTAATGTTGATAGTTACAGGTGATTAATTGGATTAGTGTTAATGTTGATAGTTACAGGTGATTAATTGGATTAGTGTTAATGTTGATAGTTACAGGTGGTGATTAATTGGATTAGTGTTAATGTTGATAGTTACAGGTGATTAATTGGATTAGTGTTAATGTTGATAGTTACAGGTGATTAATTGGATTAGTGTTAATGTTGATAGTTACAGGTGATTAATTGGATTAGTGTTAATGTTGATAGTTACAGGTGATTAATTGGATTAGTGTTAATGTTGATAGTTACAGGTGATTAATTGGATTAGTGTTAATGTTGATAGTTACAGGTGATTAATTGGATTAGTGTTAATGTTGATAGTTACAGGTGATTAATTGGATTAGTGTTAATGTTGATAGTTACAGGTGATTAATTGGATTAGTGTTAATGTTGATAGTTACAGGTGATTAATTGGATTAGTGTTAATGTTGATAGTTACAGGTGATTAATTGGATTAGTGTTAATGTTGATAGTTACAGGTGATTAATTGGATTAGTGTTAATGTTGATAGTTACAGGTTTAATTGGATTAGTGTTAATGTTGATAGTTACAGGTGATTAATTGGATTAGTGTTAATGTTGATAGTTACAGGTATATCCAGTGATTAATTGGATTAGTGTTAATGTTGATAGTTACAGGTATATCCAGTGATTAATTGGATTAGTGTTAATGTTAATAGTTACAGGTGATTAATTGGATTAGTGTTAATGTTGATAGTTACAGGTGATTAATTGGATTATTGTTAATGTTGTTGATAGTTACAGGTGATTAATTGGATTAGTGTTAATGTTGATAGTTACAGGTGATTAATTGGATTAGTGTTAATGTTGATAGTTACAGGTATATCCAGTGATTAATTGGATTAGTGTTAATGTTGATAGTTACAGGTGATTAATTGGATTAGTGTTAATGTTGATAGTTACAGGTGATTAATTGGATTAGTGTTAATGTTGATAGTTACAGGTGATTAATTGGATTAGTGTTAATGTTGATAGTTACAGGTGATTAATTGGATTAGTGTTAATGTTGATAGTTACAGGTGATTAATTGGATTAGTGTTAATGTTGATCGTTACAGGTGATTAATTGGATTAGTGTTAATGTTGATAGGTACAGGTGATTAATTTGATTAGTGTTAATGTTGATAGTTACAGGTGATTAATTGGATTAATGTTAATGTTGATAGTTACAGTGATTAATTGGATTAGTGTTAATGTTGATAGTTACAGGTGATTAATTGGATTAGTGTTAATGTTGATAGTTACAGATTAATTGGATTAGTGTTAATGTTGATAGTTACAGGTGATTAATTGGATTACTGTTAATGTTGATAGTTACAGGTGATTAATTGGATTAGTGTTATTGTTGATATAGTTACAGGTGATTAATTGGATTAGTGTTAATGTTGATAGTTACAGGTGATTAATTGGATTAGTGTTAATGTTGATAGTTACAGGTGATTAATTGGATTAGTGTTAATGTTGATAGTTACAGGTGATTAATTGGATTAGTGTTAATGTTGATAGTTACAGGTGATTAATTGGATTAGTGTTAATGTTGATAGTTACAGGTGATTAATTGGATTAGTGTTAATGTTGATAGTTACAGGTGATTAATTGGATTAGTGTTAATGTTGATAGTTACAGGTGATTAATAGGAAAAGTGATAATGTTGATAGTTACAGGTTTATCCAGTGATTAATTGGATTAGTGTTAATGTTGATAGTTACAGGTGATTAATTGGATTAGTGTTAATGTTGATAGTTACAGGTGATTAATTGGATTAGTGTTAATGTTGATAGTTACAGGTGATTAATTGGATTAGTGTTAATGTTGATAGTTACAGGTGATTAATTGGATTAGTGTTAATGTTGATAGTTACAGGTGATTAATTGGATTAATGTTAATGTTGATAGTTACAGGTATATCCAGTGATTAATTGGATTAGTGTTAATGTTGATAGTTACAGGTGATTAATTGGATTAGTGTTAATGTTGATAGTTACAGGTGATTAATTGGATTAGTGTTAATGTTGATAGTTACAGGTGATTAATTGGATTAGTGTTAATGTTGATAGTTACAGGTGATTAATAACAAATCCATTCAATATTTAAAGTTATCAGTGCAATTTATTTTTGATAATTGTTGAAATATGATAATACAAATGGAAAATTAAAATTGAATACTTTTGAATGTTCACTAAGATGGTGTCCAAACCTATTAAAATGTGCTTATGTATATCTTTGTAGACTCAAGACTTGTGGACTGGTTTGACAATGCCGCAGATATTCCATAAGATATTTGCATTTCTCAAGTCTGGTAGGTCAATGAAATTAAGCCAGGCATATAATTGATTACTAGTCTGTTCATGATGACTTCTTACAAAATGATATTCCTCAACTGCAATACAATAACCTCGATTCTTCACAATGCTTGGACTTTACATCAGAGGTTAAGAATGTTAGAACAGTGTTATATAGACTTACATCAGAGGTTAAGAATGTTAGAACAGTGTTATATAGACTTACATCAGAGGTTAAGAATGTTAGAACAGTGTTATATAGACTTACATCAGAGGTTAAAAATGTTAGAACAGTGTTATATAGACTTACATCAGAGGTTAAAAATGTTAGAACAGTGTTATATAGACTTACATCAGAGGTTAAAAATGTTAGAACAGTGTTATATAGACTTACATCAGAGGTTAAGAATGTTAGAACAGTGTTATATAGACTTACATCAGAGGTTAAGAATGTTAGAACAGTGTTATATAGACTTACATCAGAGGTTAAGAATGTTAGAACAGTGTTATATAGACTTACATCAGAGGTTAAGAATGTTAGAACAGTGTTATATAGACTTACATCAGAGGTTAAGAATGTTAGAACAGTGTTATATAGACTTACATCAGAGGTTAAGAATGTTAGAACAGTGTTATATAGACTTACATCAGAGGTTAAGAATGTTAGAACAGTGTTATATAGACTTACATCAGAGGTTAAGAATGTTAGAACAGTGTTATATAGACTTACATCAGAGGTTAAGAATGTTAGAACAGTGTTATATAGACTTACATCAGTGGTTAAGAATGTTAGAACAGTGTTATATAGACTTACATCAGAGGTTAAGAATGTTATAACAGTGTTATATAGACTTACATCAGAGGTTAAGAATGTTAGAACAGTGTTATAAAAACATCTAGTAATTTTACACTGTTTCTTTATAGACCAATCTCCATTACACAGTATAGCGAAGGACAACAGTCTCACAGAAACAATCAAGGTATGGTGATGTTGTAGAAGATTTGAGGGTATACAAATATCTTCAGTTAATGCCAAGGGTGTTTATTTTTTCATGTATGTAGTAATTCAGTGTTGTGAATTTGATAAGCAACAGATCTGCAGCAGAATAATCCCTGAGTTTGATTTGTTTGGTTTTTGAAATTTTCATATCCTTTCTTTATCATGTAGTTTTGTCAAATGCAATACAAAAAACATTTTGCTTTTATTCTGTTGAGAGAAAAATTTAATCACATCCGTAAATGATGAATGGTGATCAAAGCTTCTCTTCTCTTTCAGACTCTGTCTCCAGATCTGGTTGACTTTTTAACCAAATGTTTGACAGTATCAGTCAACCAGAGGTAAGGGAGATAACTGTGGTTTTATGAATGTACATACTAGGTATCATATCAGTAAATACCGGTAGTTGTGTTGTTATGCCTGAAGGTGTTTTACTTCATATGTACAAGCATTATAGAACTCTACTTGTGAAAGCTCAGTTGATGCTGGACCATTGTTTCCATTATATCAACATCAAAGTGAAATACACATTAGCCATTATGGTTAAAATCTTAATGATAGGATTTTAGTCGTAGAATACTGTTACTTTTCGATATAATTGTGACGGTAGTGAAAATTCAATAAATAAAAATTATATTATTTGTTGTTTAATTGGTGATTAATTATGTGACCTTTTTACAGACCCAGTCCTTCTGAACTACTGAAACATGACATATTTACAGAGCTCAGGTTGAAAGAGGTAAGTCTACAACATTACAGTCATAGTTGTTTACACTCATGTTTGTTCCTACAAACATAACAGATAAGACAATAAGATGAAGAAGCTGTGAATGGTCGGGTGGCGCAGTGGTAACGCACTCGCCTTTCACCTAGCCGACCGGGGTTCGATTCCTGGAACGGAAGTTAAAAGGTAAGGGGTCACCTGCCCAATCACGTGGGTTTTCCCCGGGTACTCCGATTTCCTCCCGCAATAAGACCCCTCGCACGCTTACATCCGGGCCAACAAGAGTGATTAGTATAAGTTAACATAACTTGTTTTGCAATTGTAGTAAAATTAAATTAAGTTTATATATATATGAAGAAGCTGTGAAAAAAACTGAAGGAACTGTTTATGTGAGGCATGTTGTAAAGCTTGTTACATTTGCTCTCCTAGACCTGACTTTTAATGTTTTGATGCCTGAAGTCACAGGTGATTTTTTTGTTATATTATCTTGATCAAAGTTAGTTAGAAGGATAGAGAAGTAAATTAGAATGGAGATGTTCATTTATCTGTAGGTGGAAATTTGTCAGGAATGTCTTGCAATCATAACTGTTTTGTAATGAAACTAGACGTACAGGAGACAGTTGTATCTTACTGATAACTTGCTCTGGTTTTCCCTACAGTGATCAGTTCTATCATTGTATTCAGAGTTGAGAATTTACATCCCTATATGTGATGACTGAATAGTCAGTGATGAATAGTAAGAATTACATCCCTATATGTGATGACTGTTAATAGTAGAGAATTTACATCCCTATATGTGATGACTGATAATAGCAGTGATGAATTTACATCCCTATATGTGATGACTGATAGTAGAGAATTTAATAGTATGAGAATTTACATCCCTATATGTGATGACTGATAATAGCAGAGAATTTACATCCCTATATGTGATGACTGTTAATAGTAGAGAATTTACATCCCTATATGTGATGACTGTTAATAGTAGAAAATTTACATCCCTATATGTGATGACTGATAATAGTAGAGAATTTACATCCCTATATGTGATGACTGTTAATAGCAGAGAATTTACATCCCTATATGTGATGACTGATAATAGCAGAGAATTTACATCCCTATATGTGATGACTGTTAATAGTAGAGAATTTACATCCCTATATGTGATGACTGATAATAGTAGAGAATTTACATCCCTATATGTGATGACTGTTAATAGTAGAGAATTTACATCCCTATATGTGATGACTGTTAATAGTAGAGAATTTACATCCCTATATGTGATGACTGATAATAGTATAATAGTAGAGAATTTACATCCCTATATGTGATGACTGATAATAGTAGAGAATTTACATCCCTATATGTGATGACTGATAATAGCAGAGAATTTACATCCCTATATGTGATGACTGTTAATAGTAGAGAATTTACATCCCTATATGTGATGACTGTTAATAGCAGAGAATTTACATCCCTATATGTGATGACTGATAATAGCAGAGAATTTACATCCCTATATGTGATGACTGATAATAGCAGAGAATTTACATCCCTATATGTGATGACTGTTGATAGTGTGATGACTGTTGATAGTAGAGAATTTACACCATATGTGTGATGACTGTTAATAGCAGAGAATTTACATCCCTATATGTGATGACTGTTGATAGTAGAGAATTTACATCCCTATATGTGATGACTGTTAATAGCAGAGAATTTACATCCCTATATGTGATGACTGTTAATAGCAGAGAATTTACATCCCTATATGTGATGACTGTTAATAGCAGAGAATTTACATCCCTATATGTGATGACTGTTAATAGCAGAGAATTTACATCCCTATATGTGATGACTGTTAATAGTAGAGAATTTACATCCCTATATGTGATGACTATTAATAGAAGAGAATTTACATCCCTATATGTGATGACTGATAATAGTAGAGAATTTACATCCCTATATGTGATGACTGTTGATAGTAGAGAATTTACATCCCTATATGTGATGACTGTTGATAGTAGAGAATTTACATCCCTATATGTGATGACTGTTAATAGTAGAGAATTTACATCCCTATATGTGATGACTGTTAATAGTAGAGAATTTACATCCCTATATGTGATGACTGATAATAGTAGAGAATTTACATCCCTATATGTGATGACTGTTAATAGTAGAGAATTTACATCCCTATATGTGATGACTGTTAATAGCAGAGAATTTACATCCCTATATGTGATGACTGATAATAGTAGAGAATTTACATCCCTATATGTGATGACTGATAATAGTAGAGAATTTACATCCCTATATGTGATGACTGATAATAGCAGAGAATTTACATCCCTATATGTGATGACTGTTAATAGTAGAGAATTTACATCCCTATATGTGATGACTGTTAATAGGAGAGAATTTACATCCCTATATGTGATGACTATTAATAGTAGAGAATTTACATCCCTATATGTGATGACTGATAATAGTAGAGAATTTACATCCCTATATGTGATGACTGTTAATAGTAGAGAATTTACATCCCTATATGTGATGATGTGATGACTGTTAATAGAGAGAATTTACATCCCTATATGTGATGACTGATAATAGTAGAGAATTTACATCCCTATATGTGATGACTGATAATAGTAGAGAATTTACATCCCTATATGTGATGACTGTTAATAGTAGAGAATTTACATCCCTATATGTGATGACTGTTGATAGTAGAGAATTTACATCCCTATATGTGATGACTGATAATAGTAGAGAATTTACATCCCTATATGTGATGACTGTTGATAGTAGAGAATTTACATCCCTATATGTGATGACTGTTGATAGTAGAGAATTTACATCCCTATATGTGATGACTGTTGATAGTAGAGAATTTACATCCCTATATGTGATGACTGTTAATAGTAGAGAATTTACATCCCTATATGTGATGACTATTAATAGTAGAAAATTTACATCCCTATATGTGATGACTGATAATAGCAGAGAATTTACATCCCTATATGTGATGACTGTTAATAGTAGAGAATTTACATCCCTATATGTGATGACTGATAATAGTAGAGAATTTACATCCCTATATGTGATGACTGATAATAGCAGAGAATTTACATCCCTATATGTGATGACTGTTAATAGTAGAAAATTTACATCCCTATATGTGATGACTGATAATAGCAGAGAATTTACATCCCTATATGTGATGACTGTTAATAGTAGAGAATTTACATCCCTATATGTGATGACTGATAATAGTAGAGAATTTACATCCCTATATGTGATGACTGTTGATAGTAGAGAATTTACATCCCTATATGTGATGACTGATAATAGCAGAGAATTTACATCCCTATATGTGATGACTGTTAATAGTAGAGAATTTACATCCCTATATGTGATGACTGTTAATAGCAGAGAATTTACATCCCTATATGTGATGACTGATAATAGTAGAGAATTTACATCCCTATATGTGATGACTGATAATAGTAGAGAATTTACATCCCTATATGTGATGACTGTTAATAGTAGAGAATTTACATCCCTATATGTGATGACTGATAATAGTAGAGAATTTACATCCCTATATGTGATGACTGTTAATAGTAGAGAATTTACATCCCTATATGTGATGACTGATAATAGTAGAGAATTTACATCCCTATATGTGATGACTGTTAATAGTAGAGAATTTACATCCCTATATGTGATGACTGTTAATAGTAGAGAATTTACATCCCTATATGTGATGACTGATAATAGCAGAGAATTTACATCCCTATATGTGATGACTGATAATAGCAGAGAATTTACATCCCTATATGTGATGACTGTTAATAGTAGAGAATTTACATCCCTATATGTGATGACTGTTAATAGCAGAGAATTTACATCCCTATATGTGATGACTGATAATAGCAGAGAATTTACATCCCTATATGTGATGACTATTAATAGTAGAAAATTTACATCCCTATATGTGATGACTGATAATAGTAGAGAATTTACATCCCTATATGTGATGACTGTTAATAGTAGAGAATTTACATCCCTATATGTGATGACTATTAATAGTAGAGAATTTACATCCCTATATGTGATGACTGATAATAGCAGAGAATTTACATCCCTATATGTGATGACTATTAATAGTAGAGAATTTACATCCCTATATGTGATGACTGATAATAGCAGAGAATTTACATCCCTATATGTGATGACTATTAATAGAAGAGAATTTACACCATATGTGTGATGACTGTTGATAGTAGAGAATTTACATCCCTATATGTGATGACTGATAATAGTAGAGAATTTACATCCCTATATGTGATGACTGTTAATAGTAGAGAATTTACATCCCTATATGTGATGACTGATTAATAGACTTTACATCCCTATATGTGATGAATAGTAGAGAATTTACATCCCTATATGTGATGACTGATTAATAGTAGAGAATTTACATCCCTATATGTGATGACTGATAATAGTAGAGAATTTACATCCCTATATGTGATGATGACTATATGTGATGACTGTTAATAATAGTGATGACTGTTAATAGTAGAGAATTTACATCCCTATATGTTTACATCCCTATATGTGATGACTGTTAATAGCAGAGAATTTACATCCCTATATGTGATGACTGTTAATAGTAGAAAATTTACATCCCTATATGTGATGACTGATAAAAGCAGAGAATTTACATCCCTATATGTGATGACTGTTAATAGCAGAGAATTTACATCCCTATATGTGATGACTGTTAATAGTAGAGAATTTACATCCCTATATGTGATGACTGTTAATAGTAGAGAATTTACATCCCTATATGTGATGACTGATAATAGTAGAGAATTTACATCCCTATATGTGATGACTGATAATAGTAGAAGAATTTACATCCCTATATGTGATGACTGATAATAGTAGAGAATTTACATCCCTATATGTGATGACTGATAATAGTAGAGAATTTACATCCCTATATGTGATGACTGTTAATAGTAGAGAATTTACATCCCTATATGTGATGACTGATAATAGTAGAGAATTTACATCCCTATATGTGATGACTGATAATAGTAGAGAATTTACACCATATGTGTGATGACTGATAATAGTAGAGAATTTACATCCCTATATGTGATGACTAGAGAATTTACATCCCTATATGTGATGACTGATAATAGCAGAGAATTTACATCCCTATATGTGATGACTATTAATAGTAGAGAATTTACATCCCTATATGTGATGACTGATAATAGCAGAGAATTTACATCCCTATATGTGATGACTGATAATAGCAGAGAATTTACATCCCTATATGTGATGACTGATAATAGTAGAGAATTTACATCCCTATATGTGATGACTGATAATAGTAGAGAATTTACATCCCTATATGTGATGACTGATAATAGTAGAGAATTTACATCCCTATATGTGATGACTGATAATAGTAGAGAATTTACATCCCTATATGTGATGACTGATAATAGTAGAGAATTTACATCCCTATATGTGATGACTGATAATAGTAGAGAATTTACATCCCTATATGTGATGACTGATAATAGCAGAGAATTTACATCCCTATATGTGATGACTGATAATAGTAGAGAATTTACATCCCTATATGTGATGACTGTTGATAGTAGAGAATTTACATCCCTATATGTGATGACTGTGATGACTGATAATAGTAGAGAATTTACATCCCTATATGTGATGACTGATAATAGCAGAGAATTTACATCCCTATATGTGATGACTGATAATAGTAGAGAATTTACATCCCTATATGTGATGACTGATAATAGTAGAGAATTTACATCCCTATATGTGATGACTGATAATAGTAGAGAATTTACATCCCTATATGTGATGACTGATAATAGCAGAGAATTTACATCCCTATATGTGATGTGACTGATAATAGGAGATGAATTTAGCAATTTTTCTATATGTGATGACTGATGTAGCAGAGAATTTACATCCCTATCTATGGTGAAAATGACTACAGTTCAAGGTCTATATGTTATATCCCTATATGTGATGATGACCTGTTTGTAGAGGTCAGTCCTCTAGCCTCAAAGGTCAAGATGTAGAATGATCTAAGATATCATCACACTAGCTGTTAAGGAATCATTCGCTGTATTAAGTGATATTTAAGTGTACATTTATTAATGTCTGGAGTGTTTATTGTCCAGGTGAGAACTTTGACCACCTGTCATTGAGAGATATGGAGGAAGTTTACTATCTATGGAGACTTGCTGGGGGTGATCTGGAGGCTCTGCTTCGCAAGGAAGGACTCGTCAAAACAAAACCCCCAATTACACTCCTCCCCAGGTATAAAGAGTTTTTCTCAAGAAAAATCAAATTTCATTGTCCATCTACAAAAGAATTTTCTGGTTGTTGTGTTTGTTTTTAAATAAATCAAAGACATATGAATTGATACAGAGAATGAGGTGTGAGGTTCTGTTAAACATTGTGTATATCCCTCTGATCCAGCTTCTGTACCAGTGAAGGCGATGTGTTCGGACAGAGGAGGGACCGAGCAGAACTATTGGATAGTATTGTGATCACAGCATCACAGGATCAACTCAGAAACGTAACTATTGCAACAAAGTCATAGATTTTATTCATCATGCTAATGTTAGCAAGGAACTGAATTTTGTGTAGATATGAGGGACATTTGTATCCATCGTGTTTACTTTATGTCAGTGGTAACACCTTACAAATTATGTGCCATTCAGACTAAAAGATTTACAAAAAAAAATTAAAATTAAAAAGTTAAGATTTTAATTCTTGTAATTCTTCATGTTGAATGAGAAATTGAAACCTCCAGCCATACAACAAGGTCTGATGTTAAAGCTGAGATGTGACTTATATTTTTCTTCATATGATATCATGCATATGATTTACGATGACTTTTATACAGAGACTATCAGAAGTGGATGAAAAGGCCTATTATCCTCTTTTGGAAGATGAGTAAGTCTAACTTATATGTTCTAGAGGTAGGGGAGAAACAGGGTGCTGTATAGTATTATAGAAATCTATCTAAACTGATACTATAAAACGCTTTTCTTCACTGATTCCTGAGCAAATTTCATATCATGTCAGTCTGTATCACTAATACAAGAAGGGCAATCATCTGTTATATTTAGAAAGTTGATTAGATCCCTGGGGACTGGGGTATCCCTGGGGACTGGGGTGATTAGATTCCTGGGGACTGGGGCGATTAGATCCCTGGGTACTGGGGTGATTAGATCCCTGGGGTCTGGGGTGATTAGATCCCTGGGGACTGGGGTATCCCTGGGGACTGGGGTGATTAGATCCCTGGGGACTGGGGTGATTAGATCCGAGGGGACTGGGGTGATTAGATCCCTGGGGACTGGGGTGATTAGATCCGAGGGGACTGGTGTGATTAGATCCCTGGGGACTGGGGGACGGGGACTTGAACAGGAAATTTAGCTAAAATTTTGCTTTCCAATGTAGTACACCTAAATGCTTATGTGGATTTCCACCAAATTCCTTTTGAAACATTTGGGGAAGGCAGTAATTTCTCAAATGAATAGTTCATGATTGTCAGATGACCATTAAAGCGCCTCTTGTTTTTTCTGTAACCAGACAGAGCTGTATGACCAGTAGCCTACCTCTATCCCCCAGTAGTTCTGACCTGACAAATACAGCGAGCCTACCCCTGATTATAAAGGAGAAAGATGTCGAGTATCAGGTAGATATATTTTTCATTTCTAAATGTACCACAAAATGGAGGTTTCTGATTGGTCAAAATTGAATTTCTGAAAATTAATATATAAGAGTAACAAGATTATACCTATGATGAAATGGATTGTCTCCAAGCTTTTCTTAAAATTAGAAATAACTGGGCGATTTTCTTTATTCATGTTTTTGTGCCATTATCCATAGCTTATATAGTATATAGTAAGGAGATGGACAAAGGAATAAAACATGTCTACTAACAGTATATGTAAACCATGTAGAAACATGTCAGAGAGAATGATTACTTAACAAATGTTTGCTGTAGATGACCTTGACATTCCACCTGACCTTGGTCATGAATTTGGAACATTATATATATATACATCTATATACATGTATGCATGTTTAAATGTTTTCAACTTACTATTCTCACTGAATAGTTTCACCGAGTTATTCTGTATGAACGACTCCTAAAAGCTTACCCCTACAAGAGAGCTCACATTTGGAAGGAGGCACGTGTGGACATTCCTCCATTGGTCAGGGCACATGTTTGGGCAGCTCTCCTAGAAGTTGAGGTAGGTTTACAAATGCTTTGCCAGTGATCAGTAGTTTAAATTTTCAGTGATGCTGTGAGATCCTGTAGAGGAGGAGATTGGTTGCACTTTGGTAATGCACTGATTCACCAAGACTTCTAGGGTTGATTCCCTGAATCGACAGGAAATGATCTGGCCCCACTCGTATAAAACATCTCAACTTGAGATTTCCTCAAGTCGAGATTTTCCTCAGCTGATATCTCCTCAAAATCGGCTTGTGTAAAATTTTCTCGAGGAACAGGAGGAAGTCCTCGGCTAGGATGTCCTTGAGGAATTTTCATGCAAGATATTTTCAAGGAGATATTAGCTGAGGAAAATCTGGGCTTGAGGAAATCTGAAGTTGAGATGTTTTATACAAGTGGGGCCTGGTCACCTAGGTTTTACCCAGCTACCAGTTTCCTTCCATAGTAAAACCCCTTACACACTTCAGTAGGTATCAATTTTTATTTTTTCACAACAATGGTTATTTCAACTTATACTAATCACTCATTTTTGCCCAGATGTAAGCATGCGAGAGGTCTTATTGTGGGAGTAAACTTAAGTACACGGGGAAAGGAAGGTGACCCCTTACCTTTTCATGTCTGTTCAGGGAATCGAACCCCAGACGACTAGGTGACCACACACTTCAGTGCTGACTAACAAATGTGATTAGTCAAAGTGAGATGATTTCTTTCAGAATTGTTATAAAATAAATAAAGTTTATATTTAAAGAGGAGGGGGAGGTTTAATGGATATGTCAGTCATGTTGACAGCTCTTTTAAAGGTGGAGGTAGGTTTATGTCTCTGTAAGTGATGTGTATGACACTTCTGAAGGTGGAGGTAGGTTTATGTCTCTGTAAGTGATGTGTATGACACTTCTGAAGGTGGAGGTAGGTTTATGTCTCTGTAAGTGATGTGTATGACACTTCTGAAGGTGGAGGTAGGTTTATGACTGTGTAAGTGATGTGTATGACACTTTTGAAGGTGGAGGTAGGTTTATGTCTTTGTATGTGATGTGTATGACACTTCTGAAGGTGGTGGTAGGCTTATGTCTCTGTAAGTGATGTGTATGACACTTCTGAAGGTGGAGGTAGGTTTATGTCTCTGTAAGTGATGTATATGACACTTCTGAAGGTGGAGGTAGGTTTATGTCTCTGTAAGTGATGTGTATGACACTTCTGAAGGTGGTGGTAGGTTTATGTCTCTGTAAGTGATGTGTATGACACTTCTGAAGGTGGTGGTAGGTTTATGTCTCTGTAAGTGATGTGTATGACACTTCTGAAGGTGGAGGTAGGCTTATGTCTCTGTAAGTGATGTGTATGACACTTCTGAAGGTGGTGGTAGGTTTATGTCTCTGTAAGTGATGTGTATGACACTTCTGAAGGTGGAGGTAGGTTTATGTCTCTGTAAGTGATGTGTATGACACTTCTGAAGGTGGAGGTAGGTTTATGTCTCTGTAAGTGATGTATATGACACTTCTGAAGGTGGAGGTAGGTTTATGTCTCTGTAAGTGATGTATATGACACTTCTGAAGGTGGAGGTAGGTTTATGTCTCTGTAAGTGATGTGTATGACACTTCTGAAGGTGGAGGTAGGTTTATGTCTCTGTAAGTGATGTGTATGACACTTCTGAAGGTGGTGGTAGGTTTATGTCTCTGTAAGTGATGTGTATGACACTTCTGAAGGTGGTGGTAGGCTTATGTCTCTGTAAGTGATGTGTATGACACTTCTGAAGGTGGAGGTAGGTTTATGTCTCTGTAAGTGATGTGTATGACACTTCTGAAGGTGGAGGTAGGTTTATGTCTCTGTAAGTGATGTGTATGACACTTCTGAAGGTGGAGGTAGGTTTATGTCTCTGTAAGTGATGTGTATGACACTTCTGAAGGTGGAGGTAGGTTTATGTCTCTGTAAGTGATGTGTATGACACTTCTGAAGGTGGAGGTAGGTTTATGTCTCTGTAAGTGATGTGTATGACACTTCTGAAGGTGGTGTTAGGTGTTTTCCTCTGTAAGTGATGTGTGTGACACTTCTGAAGGTGGTGGTAGGTTTATGTCTCTGTAAGTGATGTGTATGACACTTCTGTAAGTGATGTGTATGACACTGAAGGTGGAGGTAGGTTTATGTCTCTGTAAGTGATGTGTATGACACTTCTGAAGGTGGAGGTAGGTTTATGTCTCTGTAAGTGATGTGTATGACACTTCTGAAGGTGGAGGTAGGTTTATGTCTCTGTAAGTGATGTGTATGACACTTCTGAAGGTGGTGGTAGGTTTATGTCTGTGTAAGTGATGTGTATGACACTTCTGAAGGTGGTGGTAGGTTTATGTCTCTGTAAGTGATGTGTATGACACTTCTGAAGGTGGTGGTAGGTTTATGTCTCTGTAAGTGATGTATATGACACTTCTGAAGGTGGAGGTAGGTTTATGTCTCTGTAAGTGATGTGTATGACACTTCTGAAGGTGGTGGTAGATTAAGCCATCTTCTAAGACTCTGACATTAACTTCTTATTATGTGTATGATTTTAGGGAGATATTGAAGGATTGTACAACAGCATTGATAAAGACACAGTCACATCCACAGATAGACAGGTAAGTTGATGTCATAGTTAAAGGTGCCCACATTTACCGTACTTAAAGGATGAATTTTATTTATTTTGTGTCCTGATGAAGACCACATAAGTTTGGGCGAAACCAGTTGACACATCAATAAATGTCTTAAAGCTTACCTGGAACTTGTTGCGATTGATAACTGTCTTTGATTGCCCCTATTCCTTAGTCGCCCTACATACCAGGCTAGGTATCCAAGGAAGGGTATATCTGGAGCACTGTACACCTACACTAGATGTCACGGCATTGGCTCTACCCTCTCCCCCCCACACCTCCCCAATAGATTGATATGCTGTATAAACAAATGTAGCACATCATTGTCTGGAAGGGATCACCTCATCAGACTTTGTTTTACCCTAACATGTTATACGTTTAGTAATTGACATGCACATGATGTTACAACAGCAGAATTGAAAACATTCTATGTAAAAAGGAATTGCATGTGCAGCTCAAATAAGAGACATAGGAAAATTTATGATTTCAAATTTTGCAATTTTGATAGCATCACTAAATTAGCAAGAAATAGATACTCACAAAAACTCCTACTCACAAAAATACCCTCTCACAAAAATACCTACTCACAAAAATACCTCCTCACAAAAATACCCTCTCATAAAAACACTTACTCACAAAAATACCAACTTACAAAAATACCCTCTCATAAAAATACCCTCACAAATATACCTGCTCACAAAAATACCTTCTCACAAAAATACCTCGTTACAAAAATACCTACTTACAAAATACCTCCTCACAAAAAAATAATTACAAAAATATCTGCTCACAAAAATACTGCTCACAAAAATATCTTCTCACAAAAATGCCTGTTGTTGAGTATATGATGTTACTGTATCGGGAGGTAGCTGATTTTACCAGTGTGTAGACAAGTTATCTTGCTCTACCTTCTCTAGATTGAAGTGGATATTCCACGATGTCACCAGTATCATGAGCTGCTGTCGTCTCCCACAGCACATGTCAAGTTTAAACGTGTGCTAAAGGCGTGGGTGGTGAGTCACCCTGAGTATGTGTACTGGCAGGGTTTGGACAGTCTTTGTGCTCCCTTCCTCGCCCTAAACTTCACAAATGAAGGTAACAACACCAATCATTTATTCTCTTACATACCAATATTACTCTTGAAGTTAAATCTTGGAATTAAATTCAGCAAATATGCTAATTAGAAAAGAAATTGACAGATATTGAAAATCTGATAACTCAACTCTTCCACTTCAAAAACTTCATAACTTGGTTGAATAATGATTGTTTACTGGGGTTTACTTAAATCATGTTCCAGTGATGTTCTTGGTGAATTGATGGTATTTTGTATGGAGAGAAATGCTATGAAATTAAAATATTGTAACTTCTTTATTCCAGCCCTAGCATATGCCTGTTTAACTGCTTTCATTCCTAAATATCTCCACAAAATATTTTTGAAAGATAATTCTCAGGTAATCCAAGGTAAGTGATCTTTATTTGATATCAGATTTATACTTTAATGTTTTTAGACATTAAATATTATACAATTTACACTGTCAGGCTTCAATACAAGAAAGTTAAGAAGTAATGATAAGTGATGCTTATATCTACTGTCTTATTGATTTAGAATTTTTTTTTCTAGTAACCTGTAATATGATCATTAAAATGTTACTGTGTATAAACTTAAGTGGTATTAACAGCATACCTGTAATAATTCTAAAGTGGAGTGATATTAAGAGGATACCTGTAATAATGTTACATTAAGTGGAGTGATATTAAGAGGATACCTGTAATAATGTTACATTAAGTGGAGTGATATTAAGAGGATATATCTAATAATGTTACATAAAGTGAAGTGATATTCAGAGGATATATGTAATAATGTTACATAAAGTGGAGTGATATTAAGAGGATATATGTAATAATGTTACATAAAGAGGAGTGAAATTCAGAGGATAACTGCAATAATGTTACATAAAGTGAAGTGATATTCAGAGGATATATGTAATAATGTTACATAAAGTGGAGTGATATTAAGAGGGTAACTATAAGTGAAATTCAGAGGATAACTGCAATAATGTTACATAAAGTGAAGTGATATTCAGAGGATATATGTAATAATGTTACATAAAGTGATATTAAGAGGATACATGTTATAATGGTACATAAAGAGGAGTGATATTAAGAGGATACCTGTAATAATGTTACATAAAGTAAAATGATATCAAAAGGATACATGTGATAATGTTACATAACGTGGAATGTTATTAAGAGGATATATGTAATAATGTTACATTAAGTGGAGTGATATTAAGAGGATGCATGTGATAATGTTACATTATATGGAATGATATTAAGAGGATAGTATCAAGAAACACACAGATTCTAATGCAGTTGGATTTCTTAACAGAATATCTGGCCGTGTTCAGTCATCTTATAGCATTCCATGATCCTGAGCTTAGCAATCACCTGGATGGAATTGGCTTTATCCCAGACGTAAGTCTAATTAGCATTCATTATAAACATCCTGTTTATAAGTTTGTCATCAAGAGGAGTGAAAAATCACCATTCACTGAGTGGGTTATATACAGTGTATGTTCCTGTTGTGGCACTGAGTGGGTTATATACAGTGTATGTTCCTGTTGTGGCACTGAGTGGGTTATATACAGTGTATGTTCCCGTTGTGGCACTGAGTGGGTTATATACAGTGTATGTTCCCGGTGTGGCACTGAGTGGGTTATATACAGTGTATGTTCCTGTTGTGGCACTGAGTGGGTTATATACAGTGTATGTTCCTGTTGTGGCACTGAGTGGGTTATATACAGTGTATGTTCCTGTTGTGGCACTGAGTGGGTTATATACAGTGTATGTTCCTGGTGTGGCACTGAGTGGGTTATATACAGTGTATGTTCCTGTTGTGGCACTGAGTGGGTTATATACAGTGTATGTTCCTGTTGTGGCACTGAGTGGGTTATATACAGTGTATGTTCCCGTTGTGGCACTGAGTGGGTTATATACAGTGTATGTTCCCGTTGTGGCACTGAGTGGGTTATATACAGTGTATGTTCCTGTTGTGGCACTGAGTGGGTTATATACAGTGTATGTTCCTGTTGTGGCACTGAGTGGGTTATATACAGTGTATGTTCCTGTTGTGGCACTGAGTGGGTTATATACAGTGTATGTTCCTGTTGTGGCACTGAGTGGGTTATATACAGTGTATGTTCCTGTTGTGGCACTGAGTGGGTTATATACAGTGTATGTTCCTGTTGTGGCACTGAGTGGGTTATATACAGTGTATGTTCCTGTTGTGGCACTGAGTGGGTTATGTATGTTCCTGTTGTGGCACTGAGTGTACAGTGTTCCTGGTGTGGCACTGAGTGGGTTATATACAGTGTATGTTCCTGTTGTGGCACTGAGTGGGTTATATACAGTGTATGTTCCTGTTGTGGCACTGAGTGGGTTATATACAGTGTATGTTCCTGGTGTGGCACTGAGTGGGTTATATATTATAAGTTGTTTTCTGTCATTGATTTATATGGACATCTCAGTAGTCATCAGACTTTAACTGTACATATTCAGTGTAACTGTTCATATTCAGACAGACCATATTCAGACACTGTACATATTCAGACAGACCTGTAACTGTACATATTCAGACAGACCTGTAACTGTACATATTCAGACAGACCTGTAACTGTACATATTCAGACAGACCTATAACTGTCCATATTCAGACAGACCTGACATATTCAGACAGACCTGTAACTGTACATATTCAGACAGACCTGTAACTGTACATATTCAGACAGACCTGTAACTGTACATATTCAGACAGACCTGTAACTGTACATATTCAGACAGACCTGTAACTGTACATATTCAGACAGACCTGTAACTGTACATATTCAGACAGACCAGACAGACCTGTAACTGTACCTATTCAGACAGACCTGTAACTGTACATATTCAGACAGACCTGTAACTGTACATATTCAGACAGACCTGTAACTGTACATATTCAGACAGACCTGTAACTGTACATATTCAGACAGACCTGTAACTGTACATATTCAGACAGACCTGTAACTGTCCATATTCAGACAGAACTGTAACTGTCCATATTCAGACATACCAGTAACTGTACATATTCAGACAGACCTGTAACTGTACATATTCAGACAGACCTGTAACTGTACATATTCAGACAGACCTGTAACTGTACATATTCAGACTGACATGTAACTGTACCTATTCAGATAGACCTGTAACTGTACATATTCAGACAGACCTGTAACTGTACATATTCAGACAGACCTGTAACTGTACATATTCAGACAGACCTGTAACTGTACATATTCAGACAGACCTGTAACTGTACATATTCAGACAGACCTGTAACTGTACATATTCAGACAGACCTGTAACTGTACATATTCAGACAGACCTGTAACTGTACATATTCAGACAAACCTGTAAATATTCAGACAGACCTGTAACTGTACATATTCAGACAGACCTGTAACTGTACATATTCAGACAGACCTGTAACTGTACATATTCAGACAGACCTGTAACTGTACATATTCAGACAGACCTGTAACTGTACATATTCAGACAGACCTGTAACTGTACATATTCAGACAGACCTGTAACTGTACATATTCAGACAGACCTGTAACTGTACATATTCAGACAGACCTGTAACTGTACATATTCAGACCTACCTGTAACTGTTCATATTCAGACAGACCTGTAACTGTACATATTCAGACAGACCTGTAACTATACATATTCAGACCTACCTGTAACTGTACATATTCAGACAGACCTGTAACTGTACCTATTCAGACAGACCTGTAACTGTACATATTCAGACAGACCTGTAACTGTACATATTCAGACAGACCTGTAACTGTACATATTCAGACAGATTCAGACAGACCTGTAACTGTACATATTCAGACAGACCTGTAACTGTACATATTCAGACAGACCTGTAACTGTACATATTCAGACAGACCTGTAACTGTACATATTCAGACAGACCTGTAACTGTACATATTCAGACAGACCTGTAACTGTACATATTCAGACAGACCTGTAACTGTACATATTCAGACAGACCTGTAACTGTACATATTCAGACAGACCTGTAATTGTATATATTCAGACAGACCTGTAATTGTACATATTCAGACAGACCTGTAACTGTACATATTCAGACAGACCTGTAACTGTACATATTCAGACAGACCTGTAACTGTACATATTCAGACAGACCTGTAACTGTACATATTCAGACAGACCTGTAATTGTACATATTCAGACAGACCTATAACTGTACATATTCAGACAGACTTGTAATTGTACATATTCAGACAGACCTGTAACTGTACATATTCAGACAGACCTGTAACTGTACATATTCAGACAGACCTGTAATTGTACATATTCAGACAGACCTGTAACTGTACATATTCAGACAGACCTGTAACTGTACATATTCAGACAGACCTGTAACTGTACATATTCAGACAGACCTGTAACTGTACATATTCAGACAGACCTGTAACTGTACATATTCAGACAGACCTGTAACTGTACATATTCAGACAGACCTGTAACTGTACATATTCAGACAGACCTGTAACTGTCCATATTGTGTATTGTGACTACACCTGCCAGGTGAGGTCAGTGATTGGCTGCTCATATTCTTTGTGGTATTCCTTACATCTGAAATTACCCTGAGGATGTGGACATGATGAGTGTCCATTATTAGTATATATTCATGTATTTTATGACCTATGCTGTGAGTGCTCTGATATCTACCTATTTGTCACACACAGAGATAGACATCCAGAGGTGTGTCCAAGACTCGATCAAGATTTTCTGTAGCACGCCAAAAAGTGCCACCTACCGCCAACATGCAAGACCTTCTAAAAAAGTACAAAAGGAAGAAAGTCGACCAAACCTATCCTACTACTCACGTGATTACAATGACCAGCCGTCTACAGATCTGGTAATTAAACCTTGTTATATACAGTGACCAGCCGTCTACAGATCTGGTAATTAAACCTTGTTATATACAGTGACCAGCCGTCTACAGATCTGGTAATTAAAGCTTGTTATATACAGTGACCAGCCGTCTACAGATCTGGTAATTAAAGCATGTTATATACAGTGACCAGCCGTCTACAGATCTGGTAATTAAAGCTTGTTATATACAGTGACCAGCCGTCTACAGATCTGGTAATTAAAGCTTGTTATATACAGTGACCAGCCGTCTACAGATCTGGTAATTAAAGCTTGTTATATACAGTGACCAGCCGTCTACAGATCTGGTAATTAAAGCTTGTTATATACAATGACCAGCCATATACAGATCTGGTAATTTAACCTTGTTATATACAATTTTCATGTCTATCATCATTAGTATTCCTCCACATGTTAAAAAAAAAGGAGGAAAATTGTTTGCTTTTTCACATCTTTATATAATCAATTTGAATTGATCATTGATTATGAAAAATTATCAGGTTTTTTTTATATTTTATCCAGAAAACGCACAAAAATTATGTAAATCTGAGAGAACAGCCGTAATGCTGGCACAAGGTTGAAAAACATTTTTTGTAAATATTTCACAATAATTTAAGGTTTTATTTACAGTTTTATAAATACTCTCACCTCCAACCAGGTACACAAGATACCTTATACTTAATGAGTGTCAAAAGTGACAAACTCTAGCATTACGTCCCTGATTGATATCGCTCCTGTATGATTTAGTCTATGGAACCAATTCCAATTGAGGACTTGAAGAGGGAGAAGGTGCCTAGAATTTCTGCTGAAGATCTGATTGAATTAGGGGAGTTGACGGGGCCAGCTCATAGTAAAAGTCCGACGAAGCGTAAACAGAACAGCAAGCCTATGTTACTGGTGGTGGATGTTCGTGGTGAGGATGAGTATCCTTTCAAATCATCAACAAAAAATGTTCAGTTGTTAATTTTGTCGATCATTGCAGACTAGTCAAAGTGATGTTTTACAGTGTGATATAAAGGGCAGACTTCATTTATACATTTATATACCTGATAAATAATTCTAGAATAATGTAAGAGAGATGAGTGAGAGTTTTACATGAAAAATGTTTAATTGTATAATTCCCTATATTGAGGATGTGACGAAGATTCTCAAGGAGTCAAGGGAGAAAACTCCACAAGTAGTGATGTATTGTACAATCTAAAACTCCTTAACCCAGCTCCAGATTCAATAAAGGTACTGTGGAGAAGAGTATCAACATTCCATTCCATTCTGCCTTCTCACCTGAGGGAGACCTCAACCCATGTCCTGCTGTCATAACCTTGACCTCAAGCAGGTCACAGGTCAAGGTCATTGTAGGCAGTAGAGGGAAGAATGCTGTAAATGTAAGTCTTGTTAAGAAGTAGTGTTATACATCTTCAAAGTTTAACATGGATGTGAAAAAAATGCCATAATAAACTGACACCCAGGGGCTATCAACACAGAAAATTTGACAAAGTTTAACATTGATGTGAAAAAATTGCCATAATAAAACTGACCCCAGGCCCTCTCCACACAGAAAATTTCACAAAGTGTAACATTGATGTGAAAAAATTGCCAGAATTATACTGACACCCAGGCCCTCTCCACACAGAAAATTTCACAAAGTGTAACATTGATGTGAAAAATTGCCAGAATTATACTGACCCCCAAGGGCCTCTCCACACAGAAAATTTCACAAAGTTTAACATTGATGTGTAAAAATTGCCAGAATTATACTGACCCCCAAGGGCCTCTCCACACAGAAAATTTCACAAAGTTTAACATTGATGTGTAAAAATTGCCATAATTATACTGACACCCAGGACCTCTCCACACTTAAAATTTCACAAATGCTGCCTCCAATACATCCTTACTCCTTGAAAAAGATGGAAACTGAAGTTTATCGTGAACATAGTGTACTATAGTGACTTCAGACTGAAAATGTTTGATATATGTGTAAAATAGCTATGCTTGAAGAAATTGAAAATGCAATGTACAAAAATGTACTTATCTGAACTGTAATCTTCTCTCTTTCAGTTCGCAAATGAGATTGTACGCCTTGGATTTTCTAAAGTCTGTGTCCTTCATAAAGGCATTGATGTCCTACGACAAACAGGGTTACTGATGCTTCCGCCAGCAGATATCTGACACCATTATTAGATCTCAGAAACTCGTAGTCATGACGATTCCTATAAAGTGTAGCGACAGTAATACTCTAGCATCACTGGGTTTACTGACCTTGTAATCTCCTTGTAATTAATGGTGGCTACCTCACTGAACAACATATGGGAGGTCCATTGCAGAGCAATTAGGTTAAAGGGTCTTGTCCAAGGACACAACCAAGTCAGCACAGACTGTTGTATTTCTCAGCTTCCCAAGAAATAATACCACTTAGGGTAGGGATCGTCAAACCACACACATCATATTTTCACCTGAGGTTGTAAAAGAGAGCACAACTGATGGACCTATCACAGCCCCTTCAAACTAAATGCACAAACATTTGTTAATAGTTATTGCCATATATATAGGATCAAAATTGAGTTTTGATTTCATATGAAATTTTATGATATAAGTCTTAGAATTTTTTTTTTTTAAAAGTCCAGACAAGCAAGAATTTTTGAGACAAGATTCAAAACTTCTTGTATAAAATGGAAACAAATTTACGATAATTTTTATCACATAAATCAGAAAAGGTAAATTTTGATTAAAAGTGAAAATGTGGAGAATTAAATCAAACAAGGGCAGCCATTTTCTTGCATTTTCAATCCATGATGCAACATCGTTGTCTGTATTATGACATCACAATTGATTTTGGACTGTGGCAGCCAATGATAATGACCTAGGATGTATTACTCTAGTGACAGATACACACATACCAGGAGAGAATTCACACAATGACAGCCAAGTTATGTGATAAATATCATGTATATAGCTGAATTACTGTTCAAACTATCACCACTATCTCTGCATATTGTCTATCATCTTTTGTGATACTCTGATTGTTTCACATTTGCCAGCTTCATATGGATTTTGATCAGAAATTGAGGGCAGGCTTGTCATAGGCCATCCCTCAGCATATAAATTCTGTAGATATTTACCAGCACTCTGTACCTATCTACTAGTAATTATGCAAATTATCATTCAATAGTATTTTACTGTCTCAGTTCTGTAGATACAGACGGTACACAGTATATAACATCTGGGTGTTTTACTGTCTCAGTTCTGTAGATACAGACGGTACACAGTATGTAACATCTGGGTGTTTTACTGTCTCGGTTCTGTAGATACAGACGGTACACAGTATGTAACATCTGGGTGTTTTACTGTCTCGGTTCTGTAGATACAGACGGTACACAGTATGTAACGTCTGGGTGTTTTACTGTCTCGGTTCTGTAGATACAGACGGTACACAGTATGTAACATCGGAGTATTTTTCTTCAATGAAATCCTGAACTGTTTTGTTGATTACTATTTATAACTTCAGCCTACAGATTGTATGTCATGAATTTTTGCACTACATTATATAATGGGAGACAAAAATGACATAGCAGAACAGGTACTGCATTTACAGTACTATAACATCATATTCATTCTCATTTCTGTAAAGATTTGGTTTGGTAGGTCAAATTTCCACAATTTTACAGGTATAAAAAGAGGATGTATTTTTATTATGGAAACAACTTGTTTTAATTTCATGTTGTCTATATTTCATGAATTTATTCCTTCAGAAAATAGCACCATGTACAGAATGTAGAGTATCATCATTTCCAGTGGATCCCTTTACTTCCTGTTTATATATCTAAATATTATGTGGCGAATCCTTCTAAATAATGTGCAATATGATATCACGGAAGGTAATACGTTTAATATTACTTCTTTGTTTACTATGGCATGACAGTATAAATGTATATTGTGTGATGTATGTACTGATGCCAAATCCTTTGTTTCTATGGTAACCAGTAATCATGAAATCATCTCACGGAGGCAGGTCTTGCCCAATTGAATTCTAGTCACAAAGTTCAATGTTTCCAACATTACTTTGATCTTCAAAGGCCATGGACACCACAGATATCTACTAGACAGAGTAACATCATGGACATCATACTGTGGGTATCTACTAGACAGAGTAACATCATACTGTGGGTATCTACTAGACAGAGTAACATCATACTGTGGGTATCTACTAGACAGAGTAACATCATGGACATCATACTGTGGGTATCTACTAGACAGAGTAACATCATGGACATCATACTGTGGGTATCTACTAGACAGAGTAACATCATACTGTGGGTATCTACTAGACAGAGTAACATCATGGACATCATACTGTGGGTATCTACTAGACAGTAACATCATACTGTGGGTATCTACTAGACAGAGTGACATCATACTGTGGGTATCTACTAGACAGAGTAACATCATACTGTGGGTATCTACTAGACAGAGTAACATCATGGACATCATACTGTGGGTATCTACTAGACAGAGTAACATCATACTGTGGGTATCTACTAGACAGAGTAACATCATGGCCATTTTAATTTGTAATGACATGTAAAACAAAAAAAGAATAAATGCTAGTTGTTTATCACAATGATTCTGTTGTTATTTTTTATTATAATAATAAAATGAGATCGGTTAACCAACTGGAATTACCAGGCATCTGAAAGTTTGTAATATATATATATGGCTGGAAATTTTTGAAGATTGTCAAGTTCATATGTATATTCTGGACTGTGTTACTATTCGAATGTATTGAAACATTTCATGCTAGTTTTGCAAACCTCAGGGATTAAATGTCAACAAGCAATAACAACAACAATATCAAAGACTGCCTTAGACACATAATTATTATTGATATTATGACATTCTTAACGGCCTGCAACACATAAAAGGTCATTAGGGTCAAAGGAAATAACATTAAACAAAGCAAAAGGTAAAAGACAAATGCTAAAAATCTTAAATGGGTATGTTAACACAAAAAATTAAAATGGTAAGTCATAGTCTATTATATAGACCAACATCTTTCAATTTTAGAGGTAGATACAGTAGAGCCAAGCCAGGGATACCACATCACTGACAAGTTCTAGAAGGACGAAACGGCTGTATGATATATCATACGGCCGTTTCGTCCTTCTAGAACTTGTCGGTGATGCTACATCATACAGCTGATTCGTCCTTCTAAGACTTGTCAGTGATGCTAAGGGTCTAAAAGTTTGAAGCTCATGGACCAATAGTTGACAGTATAAATAATTCAATGTGAATTTAAGTCCAGTGACTGCGGAGGAATAACCACTTTAACAAATAAAAACAGGACCAGTGTATCAGCATTATTACATACATGATTTTAATCACTTTAAATATTTTGTTACAAATATATATACAATATCACCAGAGTGTATACTTATATCAATATCAGGGTCACCTGACTCACAGTTATGCTGTTCTAGCTAGGTTTGATGCGTATTTTTCTGAAAGTCTTAAAAGGAGTACTGTACAATCAGGTGAAGTGACTGACCAAGCCATCAAGACTTCAGCACCATGTACTTGATGTAAACAATTCACACCAAAAGTTAAAATAGAAAAAATCACATGCTGCTTCAGTGTATCTCAGGATGATTAACAACAAATGCTGGTCAAACATTGAAGGAAATTAAGATAATCGTCATCAATCTGTAAAAAGATTCCTAGGTCCTTTCACTGTTTAGATCTCATGACTTCTACATGTAGATGGGTGTTTTCTAGTTCAGTATCATGATTTACTGATATAACTTATAAACTAATCTGTAGATAATTATACCACAGACAACCAACCAGAGGGCGGAGCTGACAGTGACTCATCTCCCACTTATGTAACTTTACATCTTTGTGAGGCACAGAAATCTGACTGAAATAATCAATCTTACGGAAAATCATTTGCACATCAAAACTGACATAAGTAATCACTGTTTTCCCACAGTTTGCTGTGAATATGTTGCTGTTTCCCCGTCTGATGTGAATATTTTGCGTTGCTTAGCAGCAGAAGAAGCGAGGGTTAGGACGTTGCTGTAGCATACACTTGTGAATATTTCGGCTGTTCTGACATGTTCCTCTGTTTCAGTTTCTTGGCCCATTGTGATTTGTCTCGAGTCTGTAACACAATAAATCCGAATAAGATTAAGTTTGATCTTTGACCTTTTTAACCTAAACCATTTATGAGATATATCCTTATGACCAAGCTGGTCAAACAATATGTACAAATACTGATAACTTCGATATAAGTACTGATAACTAGGGTACAAGTACTGATAACTTGGGTACAAGTATTGATAACTAGGATACAAGTATTGATAACTAGGATACAAGTATTGATAACTTGGGTACAAGTATTGATAACTAGGGTACAAGTACTGATAACTTGAGAACAAGTACTGATAACTTGGATATAAGTACTGTTAACTAGGGTACAAGTATTGATAACTAGGGTACAAGTATTGATAACTAGGATACAAGTATTGATAACTTGGATATAAGTACTGATAACTTGGGTACAAGTACTGATAACTAGGGTACAAGTATTGAAAACTTGGGTACAAGTATTGATAACTAGGGTACAAGTATTGATTACTAGGGTACGAGTACTGATAACTTGGGTACAAGTATTGATAACCCTGTTATATTACTCATATTCTACATTTCTCATTTACAGCATCGAGGTAGACCCAGACAGTATAATCTAGCTCTTAGGATATAGCAGAAAGAGTGTAATCCAATCCCTGTGATTTTCCATTCTGTTTTACAACCTTAGGTAGACTTTTTATCTTAGCTAAATATGGTGTTATTTTCTAAAAAAAAAAAAAGAGAGAGAGAGAGAGAAAGTTAAGAATGTCTTCCCAATTTCATTGTTGCAGACAACATATCCCGGGACTGAGGATTAATCTTATCAACATAAATCCAGGATTAAGTATCACAATCCTAGCTTAATGATGTATTACCAGTGAAATAGATCCAGGCTTGAGAATATTAGGGTCATCCTGCGGCTCAAACGTGTTATGCGGAGCATGGACAATTGAACTTTTTGGCTTTACAGTGTCCTGTGGGACAACAGATGTTTTCTTGGTTCCTGTTTGATGTATTGATAAGTTCATCACAACTTGCTTCATAACAGACATTTCCTGAAAAGAACAATACCAATGATTAAATCCTAAATCAACTTGTTGGCAGCAAAGTAAAGGAGATCAAATAAAGGTAGGACTGAGGGAGCTACACAAACTCACACTATTCTATGTAGGAGATATGTTGACAAAACAACATGTATTCTACAATTCATTAATTTTTATTTCTCTGAAAGAGCCTTAATTTATAAACTTTGTGAATCACAAACCTCTTTCTGGTTCAAAAGTCGTTCCAAATCTAGAGACATTTGGTTTTTTGTCCTCACAATATCTTCTCTCTCCTTTTCCAAAGCTCTGAAAAAGATATAAAGTAGATATACTTCTACATTCCCAGTCTGACCTGTTTAAAATTGACTGTAGGCCATCAACATTGAGGTCCCATCTCCTTGTAGTTGCTGGTGACTTCATCATTGAACAACGTAATGAAGGCCCATCTTATGTAGAGAAAGATAAAACCACAAAAGCACAGACAAGTATGTTTTTCAGCTTCCTGAGAAACACAAACCTCCATTGGTAAGGAAAACTGAACCCAGCACAGGATATAACTATACTCAAGTGTAACTACACCACTGACAGTTTAGCAAGGGCCCCGCTATTTGACTGGAATTTCCCAATCTCCCCATTCCTCTCAGAAGAAGGAAAACATATGACTTTTTTGGTCAAAGCAAGGAGTTACTGATTTTCCTATTTATTATACCAGTGACCTTGACATTTAACCTTCGAAACTGTAAAGCAATCTTAACCTAACACTTTCAGTAAGGAAGTACTGTATGAATTTTGGTTTAGATTGGCCAAAGCAAACTTTATTTTTCACAAGGAAACTAATTTTCTATTTATGGTAACAGTGGCTTTGACCTTTGAAGCTGAAAAGCAATCCCATACAAGCACATTCAATAAGGAATTACTGTAGGAAGTTTGAGGTTAATCAGCCCAAGAAAACTCAAGTTATTGTATGGAAACAAAAATGCTGACAGATAGATGGCTGGACAGAGAGACGGTCGGACAGACACTGATGACTATAGGGCACTTACACTTTCGTGCGGGGCCCTAATTATAAAATCTGTTCTGGGCTTTATTCTGTAATCATTTACTACTTGTTTCTGTCCATACTTACTCCTTGTCATGTTCCAAACTGTTAATATATTCCTTTTGTTTCTGAAGGCTGGCATCCCTCTGCCGTATGCTCTCGATCAGATAATTATATGGCTGCTGTGCTTGGTCCAATAAAGAATTGCTATTTTTAAGCTGAAAAAAAGACATTAATTCTATGTCATTATTGATAATATTATGTTGAGTTCAAACATTAGCATTATTATACAGATAATTCTGCTACTTCAAACATCAGACCAACTATCACAAACAAATGTAATAATTACCTCCTCAGACAAACTATCACAAACAAACATGTTAATTACCTCTTCAGCCAGCTGTCTTATCACAAACAAACATGTTAATTACCTCCTCAGCCAGCTGTCTTATCACAAACAAACATGTTAATTACCTCTTCAGCCAGCTGTCTAATCACAAACAAACGTGTTAATTACCTCTTCAGCCAGCTGTCTAATCACAAACAAACATGTTAATTACCTCTTCAGCCAGCTGTCTTATCACAAACAAACGTGTTAATTACCTCTTCAGCCAGCTGTCTTATCACAAACAAACATGTTAATTACCTCCTCAGCCAGCTGTCTTATCACAAACAAACATGTTAATTACCTCCTCAGCCAGCTGTCTTATCACAAACAAACATGTTAATTACCTCTTCAGCCAGCTGTCTTATCACAAACAAACATGTTAATTACCTCCTCAGCCAGCTGTCTTATCACAAACAAACATGTTAATTACCTCCTCAGCCAGCTGTCTTATCACAAACAAACATGTTAATTACCTCCTCAGCCAGCTGTCTTATCACAAACAAACCTGTTAATTACCTCTTCAGCCAGCTGTCTAATCACAAACAAACATGTTAATTACCTCTTCAGCCAGCTGTCTAATCACAAACAAACGTGTTAATTACCCCCTCAGCCGGCTGTCTAATCACAAACAAACGTGTTAATTACCTCTACAGCCAGCTGTCTAATCACAAACAAACGTGTTAATTACCTCCTCAGCCAGCTGTCTAATCACAAACAAACGTGTTAATTACCTCCTCAGCCAGCTGTCTAATCACAAACAAACATGTTAATTACCTCCTCAGCCAGCTGTCTTATCACAAACAAACGTGTTAATTACCTCCTCAGCCAGCTGTCTTATCACAAACAAACGTGTTAATTGCCTCCTCAGCCAGCTGTCTTATCACAAACAAACGTGTTAATTACCTCCTCAGCCAGCTGTCTTATCACAAACAAACGTGTTAATTACCTCCTCAGCCAGCTGTCTTATCACAAACAAACGTGTTAATTACCTCCTCAGCCAGCTGTCTTATCACAAACGTGTTAATTACCTCCTCAGCCAGCTGTCTTATCACAAACGTGTTAATTACCTCCTCAGCCAGCTGTCTTATCTTGTTCTTTTCTCGCTCAACATCCTTTTTCAAGTTGGTGTTGATTTTTTCCAATTGCAGGACCCTCCTGGCTAGATGTACACTGAAAACACAATGATCTGAGTTTCAAATTATACCATAGAATGAACACAAACCTTCCCCCATATAAAAAAAAAACTCACCAAACAGAAATACATTGTATGGTAGACAAATAAATATCATTAATAATGTGACTATTGGGACATCATAATTGTAGAGACACTGAGGTGGTCATGGTACACTGATAAAATGACTGGTCTTTCAAAAAGACATTGCAGCTGGTGATAAACAGTTGAGATAGTTAACTATTCACAAGTGCAAGTGTCAGTTAATGTAAATAGAAGTTATCATTCACATGACAATAAAAGCCAAATTATGACAATTCAACACTTTAAAATGGAAGACCTGATGTCACCTTCACCTGTGGTTACAAACATCTGCACCAAATATACATGTGAAGAGTCTCACCTATGTAAAACGCTTATAACAAATTCTGATTTTCTCATCTGTATTTACCCAGCTATTAAACCCACCTCTGTTGCAGCCTCCTCTTCGCTGTGCTGGGCATATTAGCTCCATAACCATAGGAAAACAGCACTTTCTCAGCTTCCTGTTCATCATCCACTGGAGTGAGACAAATTACTATGTAACTACAGCTGTCTACATTCTATACAACAATCACATATAGAAGAATCACATCAAAACTAGCAGCCATCAATCTGTGGATAAACACACTGCATCATATTTACTGGGTAGTTACATTATCCTGGCAGTTCACATAACCTTCATATGACCTTGACAGTTTACATGACCTTGACAGTTAACAGTTTACATGACCTTGACAATTTACAAAACCCTGACAGTTTACTAGCCCTTGACAGTACCTTCTGCAGCCTGCATGACCACATCGTCCAGCTCCTTTTCTATTTTCTCATAAGCTATAAGTTTAGATTGTTTATCTGACATCTCTGATTCCAGCTCTAGGATGCGTTTGTCCATAGAACCCTGAAGACTGTAGTACTCCTTGGTTAATACCTATAAAACAGTACATAAACACAGTAAGACTGACTCACAAAATTTGTTTGTGCACAGATCTGCTCTAGGTTGTAGTACACATCAGACAGCAAGCTTACGAAACATACAAAATACCAAGCATGGAGTCCAGCTATATGTATGATATTAAAGAATGATGAAGAATTTGGGAGATTTGGTGAAAATCATTTGTGTTAAGCCCTCATGTGTTCAAAAGAATTACAAATCATCCATATCATAATCTGTCTATAATTAATTGTGCTTCAGAAAATAATCTAAACATTATCTCCAGTGGTTCTCTCTTTTTTAAATTATTATTTACAGACTTGTCTCGTGTTACATTTTGAATCAACATCCATCAATTCAACTACTACGTCTTAAAAGCCATTATTTATAAGCAAAAACTTCAAGTTACTACAGTTATTGCATTCAACTGATACAGTACCAGGCCACGTAAATGTCCTACTTTATCATCCCACAGCTCTAAGCTTTATTTTTCAACGAACTTCCATTACAAAAAAATATAACAAACTGCTACAAACTGTAAAAACACTATCACATACCCTAACAAAATGCACTTAATGACCTTGTATCTGGGGAAGGGAAATGACATAGGACAGCATCAGATAGTATTCAATGAATGTAAAAATAGAGGCATTTTTTTTTAGTATTAGTATTATCACATGACAACATATCACATTATTCTGCAATAAATTTTTTTTTATAAACAGGTGACTTTAACAGAGGAAATAAGAATTGATTTACTTCATTTTTCTTCTGAAGTTTCTCGACTTCCAGCTGACTCTCTGTCAGGTTTCGGACAGTCTGTTCGTGGACTAACTGTGTTCTCTCTGCTTCAAAACCCTTAATCTTCACCTCATTCTTCAGTTCTGAAAGTTGTGAATCTCCGCTCATCTGCAGCTGTCTAAATCTAGATAAAATATAATACTCTGTAATACTGGTGGATTATATAGCTACATACAATATCTGGGAACTACTTTATGTAATACTGGTGGATTATATAGCTACATACAATATCTGGGAACTACTTTATGTAATACTGGTGGATTATATAGCTACATACAATATCTGGGAACTACTTTATGTAATACTGGTGGATTATATAGCTACATACAATATCTGGGAACTACTTTATGTAATACTGGTGGATTATATAGCTACATACAATATCTGGGAACTACTTTATGTAATACTGGTGGATTATATAGCTACATACAATATCTGGGAACTACTTTATGTAATACTGGTGGATTATATAGCTACATACAATATCTGGGAACTACTTTATGTAATACTGGTGGATTATATAGCTACATACAATATCTGGGAACTACTTTATGTAATACTGGTGGATTATATAGCTACATACAATATCTGGGAACTACTTTATGTAATACTGGTGGATTATATAGCTACATACAATATCTGGGAACTACTTTATGTAATACTGGTGAATTATATAGCTACATACAATATCTGGGAACTACTTTATGTAATACTGGTGGATTATATAGCTACATACAATATCTGGGAACTACTTTATGTAATACTGGTGGATTATATAGCTACATACAATATCTGGGAACTACTTTATGTAATACTGGTGGATTATATAGCTACATACAATATCTGGGAACTACTTTATGTAATACTGGTGGATTATATAGCTACATACAATATCTGGGAACTACTTTATGTAATACTGGTGGATTATATAGCTACATACAATATTGGGGAACTACTTTATGTAATACTGGTGGATTATATAGCTACATACAATATTGGGGAACTACTTTATGTAATACTGGTGGATTATATAGCTACATACAATATTGGGGAACTACTTTATGTAATACTGGTGGATTATATAGCTACATACAATATTGGGGAACTACTTTATGTAATACTGGTGGATTATATAGCTACATACAATATTGGGGAACTACTTTATGTAATACTGGTGGATTATATAGCTACATACAATATTGGGGAACTACTTTATGTAATACTGGTGGATTATATAGCTACATACAATATTGGGGAACTACTTTATGTAATACTGGTGGATTATATAGCTACATACAATATTGGGGAACTACTTTATGTAATACTGGTGGATTATATAGCTACATACAATATCTGGGAACTACTTTATGTAATACTGGTGGATTATATAGCTACATACAATATTGGGGAACTACTTTATGTAATACAATTAAACAGGAAAATAATGACATGGCTTTACTTTATCACGAAATACTTGTATATCAATGATTTACCTGTAGAAAAGAACATTTTAATACATTGGCGATGTGTCAAAGAATGACTTAAAATTGATTTGTTGAAAACCACAAGGATACACAGGGCTCGCGCTGGCGATCGCCAATGGCGCCATTGGCGAAAGTGAAATGAGATTGGCGATTTCAAATTTCTATTGGCGAAAATGCAGATTACAGACATTTCGAGTCACCGATGATTGTAGAGAAAAATCACTGGCGTTTAACTTATTTGTAACGATTGACACAGGTAAATTTTGCTCCGACATCGTTGTGTACTACACGGTCACGGCTGACTGACTCCCGCAGCTGGGGCAATGTCAGCTATCGGAACTCTTTTGTGTTTTGACAGAAACGTTTACCTGTCTAAATAGCAACACGCCTGTAATGAAAATCGCCAATTATCCAATGATGTCTCCATTGTCTCAATCCGAGATAGCCTCTGCCGTGAACAATAAGGTAAGTTGGCTGAAGGAAAGATGTTGTTTTATCGGGAATTGGCTTACGGTAGGTCGATCATTAGGTGTGTCGATGTCGTTAATTGGGCACAGGTTTATGATTTCTGCAGACATAACTTAGTGAAATATTGTATTTGAAAGGGCCCGAAATGGGCTTCTTACCCTTTTTGTTGTTTTTACACTATGTTGCCAATTTTTCTTTTATATTTTTGTATATATTTTGGTCACATCAGTTTTGGCCCTTCACTGAGGATAGATCGTTAGATGAAATGGGAAAACGTAAACTCCCCTTTAGTGATAGGGATGGGAAAGTACCCAGATTGTCATCATTTGGTTTTAAGACACCATCTATTGTAAAGGAAAATGATAGTCCTGATCAAGTTACTAACAAGGACAGTAGTTCAAGAAAGTATCTAGATAGTTGGGAAATTGGCAGGCCTTGGCTAAAATATGACCCAGAGCAAAAGCTCCGTTAGAATTAGTTTCACTAATGGCTGCAGTATCATGAAGAAAGAGTGCTTGGTTAAGCATGAGAAAGGATCAGGTATATACAACTATTCATCATTTATGAACAGAAAATTATGTAAAATTAGATTAAGTAATTCAGAAATACTATACAGCCTAGAGGATGGTACAATGTAGTTACTCATTACAGCCTGCTTGGCACATGAATTAGAAAGGAATTAGGAAGTTACTGTAATAAGTATAATACTTTGATGGTGTAAAATAAGGTTCAATGTAATCCTGTATCTCTCTGCAAATGTCCAATTCTATTCTAAATTTTATTTTCAATTTTACAGATGAGAACTCTCACTCTGCTGCTTTGGCAACACAACAGCAAACTGTAGAGATGCAGAAGGCCTGTAATACATGTAAAAGTTTCATGTTTATAAGCTATTTACCATATACTGTGTTATGTTTGATGTATTGTTGTTAAAACAGTGAATAAATAATGTAATTATATAATTAGCATATGTGTTTTTATTATATGAGGGAATTAAAGGGCTCCTGGGGTGAGGGTGAGTTCCGGAATCTGTTTGCGCGCTTACAGCAAAAAAAGAAATTGGTTTGGCGAAACTGAATTTTTACCCAGAGCTAGCCCTGATACATAGTATAACATACACAAGCTATGTAAGCCATTCACTGTGTAGATAAGAGGTATATTAAGGTATATCACCACATTTCCTAGGTATGTAATGTCTTCACTTTCTACACTTACTCTGTCAAAAGGTGATCATATTTTGCAGTTGTTTCTCTCTCAGCAGCCTGAGCACGATCTCGCTCTGATATGGCCATTTCTCTTGCCTCTCTTAAATTTCTAAAAACAAAATCTTTCATCAAAGTTCTAGAACACAGTGAAAAGGCAGTCATGGTACTGAAGTAACCTGTGTCAGAAATTATCTTTAAACATCAGAAATGGATTCATTTTTTCTCTATTTTTTTTAACAAATGTTACACAGATCAATACTTGCTACATCAACATATTCAAAACTTCTATCTGGTTTAGTTAGAGCTGAGCCTGTAGAACTGTGTAATGAGAAATAAAATATCCTGATTAATCTGGGGCAAGAATTGTCATCTCAGACTAGGATCAGACAGAATAGATCTGCTTGGTGACAAAAACAGGAGTTACAACCTTAAGTTACTACTTAGCAGTTCTATTGTCACAATGAAAATACCAACACCAACTTCCTCCATCCGCAAAGTAGAAGAACAACAGTTCTTTCTATGACTAGAACACTAAAACTTGTTTCCCCAATCTGATAGTTATTGTAAGATTTCAAAAAAGAATTTAACAGAAGATGCTTAATCATGAAAATGTCAGCAGAGGACAATATATACTATTTATGGGTGGAGAAATATTTAATGTTTTATACACTATATAATGTACTGAGTACAAGAGTTTGTATATACTTTCTAGTTTCAATAATGCAAAAATCAAATGATTTATCTCTGACCTGAATCATATGCATTTCAATGTATTAATTACTCACCTATTCTCACGCTCATACATCTCTCGTGTACTTGTCCGAAGTCTGTCTATCTCCGCATTTGTCCGAGTCCTGATCTGTTCCAGTTCATCCTTCAGTTTGTTTTCATATTCTGTTTTGTATTGATCTCTGGGGAAACATAACACATTCTACTGAATTTCCAAATAACCACTTTACATGGAGTAACAATCCTTCGCTACTCTGATATGTTACATAGATTTTACTTCTTGACTAGATCTCATTTTCATTATTATATACTGAGAGCAAAAAGAAACGCAATTAGCAGAAAGTTGATATTGTAAATTAAATCTTTGACATACACCCTTGAAATTTGACAAATGTGTGCATTTGAGTTAGGTCCCTATGGTACGGTATTAAAATCACTGATGCATAACTAAACTGCGCACGTCCCTTGTGCAAAAGAATAAGAGACAAAAGCACGATATACTGTGTGCCAATCTTCAGACATATCTGTCTTGATTTCCCACATTTTATGCATAAACAGTTCACCGTAAAATGCCATGACTGTCCGAAGTTGACAGGAGTCGTGCCATTGCACTTCTTATGCAAGGTACCCCGTACAATCAGGTTGCTAATCAATTTGGAGTCCATCCATCAAACATTTGCCGTCTCATCCAAAGACTTCATGCCACTGGTAGGGTTGCAGACCGTCTCCGAAGCAGTCACCCTCATGTGACGATGCGTCAGCAGGATAGGACAATGCAACTTTCGCATCTACGCAATCGCTTTCTGGCGGCCCCAGAAACAGCAAGGAACACAATTGGGCGTCATCATGTTCCAATTGATCCAAAAACAGTGTGTACTCGACTGCGTGCCTTTGGTCTTAGACCACGGCTGCCATATTTTAGCCCACAGCATAATGCGTGGTGACGTGCCAGACGAATGCAATGGCTGAACGCACATTCCATAAGACGCTTCCCAATGCAACGTTGGAGAAGGGCCCTGTTCTCTGATGAGTCCACGTTTTCGCATTACCGGGCAGACGACCGACATCATGTCTATAGACGTACCCACAAGAATGACCGCTTTGGAGGAGGATCGGTCATGGTATGGGGAGGGATTGCGCATGGTATCAAGACTCCTCTGGTCGTTATTCAGGGAAATCTCACGGCCGTCCGCTATAGAGTTCAAGTCCTAGCGCCGCATTTGTTCCTCTAGTACAGCAGCGTCAACTGACGTTTCAGCAGGACAATGCCCCATCGCATGTAGAGAGGGTTTGCCGTGGTTATCTCATAGCAAACAATGTCCCCAACCTAGACTCGCCCCCATACAGCCCTGACCTCTCCCCAATAGAACATTTATGGGACGAGTTGGACAGAAGGATAAGACGTAGGCCGAATCCTCCAATCAACGTCGCTCAGTTGGGGAACACACAATATTGATGGGTCCAGAACGCACTTAATTTTGAGTGGGGTACTCTTGAATCAACGTCTAATTTGAAAGGTTTACTTAACGTACACGAATGAAATTCTCGTAAATGACAGTGGTCAACTATCTTCCAGTTACACCATAATTACATTCTAAACCCCTTTTCTATTTCCCGTAGTTGACCTGGATATTCCTAATTGCATTTCTTTTTCCTCTCAGTATATATACACCATGATTTAAGACTGGTGTACACTAAAACTATGTAAGTAGAGGCTCACATAAAAATACCCCAACCCTCACCTTATTTTTCTAATCTATCTCGTGCACTGAAAGTCAATTTACATGATGTGTAAGAAATTACAAATGGCTTGTATTGATATTTACCTACTGAGCACCTAGCAATACATAAAGACAAATGTTAACAATATTACTCTTCAACAAATCCAATTCATCTCAACTCCTTGTATATCATCAAATACATTCCTTGTTTAGTAGTCTTCAGAAACACAAAGATTTGAATAAAGCAAGTGAATTAATACTTTACCTGGAGCTGACATATTTTTCATACATTTCTTCACGTGACCTCTTGGCATCCTCTAGATTTAGAGCACTCTGTTGAGACTTCTCCTCAGAGAAAGTGATACGGTTGGAGAGGTCAGACACCTGCTTGGTGAGATACTCCTTGTCTTGTTTGAGGAGGGACAGAGATTGCTTGGCTGCTGTACACTGACATAAAACACAGATATACACATGGTCAGACAAAGAAGCAGTTATGTAACTATAGAGATGTCATCCCTTTGTAATTAATTTAAAACCAATCAGTAAAACTTTTCTCATTTTCAGGATTGTAACCTACATCACTATAGAGATCATCCCTTTCCTTCTGTAGACTTTTATGAGCACCATCAAGGACCGACAACTGGCGCTGTAAATCAAGGATGTCAGACTCCAAGTTGTCTCTGTCACTGGAAACAAGACAGGAGAAGTTACATACAATTTATCATTACACAAACTTGAAGAGTGTGGGAAATGTTCTGTCCTTATCATCATGATCTATTTATTTTTCACTTTCCTTCATGTATCCAGTTACCAATCTGAGATCATCAGCTATGAACTCTACTATGATGATTTTAGAAAGAAGTTTATGCTCCAGCAAATTTTAATGGAGGGAGTTTGTAAGGAGTATTTTTCTATCTCTTTTATGATATTACCTAGTACACATACAGTCTTCTGTTAATCTGGTCAGTGTGACTTAAATTTTCTCTTTCACTTCCTTTGATCTAGACTTTCATTTAAATTATAGCTCCATTTCCTTAGTAAGACTAAAATCAGTGTCCAGATCATTTCTATTAAAAAGAGATGGGTGGTATATGTACAAGTATGTTTCCATTTCTTAATTATCCTTTGATTGAAGTCAAATTATAGTTCACAATGACAAAGAGATTGTACAAAACATCCTGCCACCACCACAAGGTTAAAATAATCCTTTAACCTTTTAATGAGTTACTGGTTAACAAAGGTGTTATGAGACTTTTCAAGGGTTTCTTAGAGCCGATTCCTAAGCTCAGTTACAATGTATGTTACAAATAGTCAGGATACAGGATATACCACTATATATGCATGCATTTACCCTTTAACCCTGTCATAGTTCTCCACACGGTAGTCATCAACCTTAACTTTTGACTTGGTATCAGCATACTCCATGGACACTTTCTGATACTTCACACGTAGTTCACCATGACTCTGACGTTCTTCATCAAGTTTCTGTAATTAGAAAGTAAGCTCTATGTGTGAGTTCATACTCCACTATATATGTAACAGAGTTTTTAGCTATATGACATATAGTAAAGTAAATTATACAAGATACAATTCTTACAACAACTACAATTCAATCACAACTAATATAAGCGATAGATACTTATCTCTAAAGGAGCTGGTAATTATATCCATAATATAAAACCTGTTATGGAAAAGATTTTACTAGAACATGCTTGTCTTCTGATCTACTTGTATATAACATTTGTTGAAATGAACTTCTACCACCAGACTTTAACACCATCCTTAGCTTTAGTACCTTCTTCCTTCTTCTTACTACTTGGGAATGATCTCCTTCATATTGCAAAGCTACATGTCCTACCACTACTACATATAGCTCTACTACATCTTCAAACTGCAACACATTCTACTGCTAGTACTCTACCTCATGTAGCTCTACAACATCTTTGGAATATGAGTTTGTCTCCTCCTCTAGTGTCTTGTTCCTTAGTCGTAACTGGTCAATCTCTGCCTTCAGTGGACGTACAGCCTCATACAAACGCATCTGCAGGTACAAATCATATACTAAAACATAACTTGTAAAAAGTAAAATTTTCATCGTATCAATTTTATTACTTAAACATATTTACTATCAACTATATGAAGAGCTATTTATTTATAATTGCTGGACTTTGATATTCATGTACATCTGTCATAGTGAACATTTAGATCAGTGGCACATCAGGACCCAGTATATTGGACGAGTTGATTAAAACAGTATTTTTACCCAATCATGCAAACAAGTACATACTTCTAGATGCCTTGGGACGGGAAAACAGGACTTTGAACATAGGTTCATTATCTGGATAATTTGTATTGGTTAACGATCATCGGATCATTAAATAAATCTGGTGTACAAAATTAAACATTGTGTAACCATACCGCAACAAAATCTCTCAAAGATATATCTTCTTCGCTCTGGCTGCGCAGCTCATAATATTTATCTTCGAATAAATCTAAATCGTTCAGTGTCCTTCTCACATTTCCTGCCTTCTCTTGCAACCTTTCATTTGTCGATTCTAAATGTTTCTGTCGTTGTCTAACATCTTCTAATTCACTTTTAATTAATTCTTGTCTTCTTCTTGATTCCTGCTCCTGTATACTTAGCTGGGATTCTAAACGAGCGGTCAAAATTTGCTTTTCATGCAAAGCATCATGGAGTTTCTCTTCAAGTTCTTCCACTTTTTGTAACGACTGCGCTTTCATGTTCTCCATGTTTAAATTTTTCTGTGAAAGCTCTATTCTAAGCAATTGTAGATCATGTGTTAACTGTTTCTTTTCGATTAACTGCCGTGTGATTTTTGTTTTCCTGTCTCGTCTTTCGACATCTCGGTCCGGTGACAGAGTCAAATCGGTTGGAGCTGTTGTTTCCAATCCACTCAATTCGTCCGATTCGATTTCATCGAATGTTTTCGATAAATCGTTGGCAGCCATTTTTATAGGTAGCTATTCCTGTTCCTGAAATGATTAGCAGCAGATCATTTGATGTTTACGGTTGACGTTTAAACCAAAGAGCCATTTCCAATTTTTCTTATGTTTATCGTCTGGGTCGTCCCACGTCTTGAAAGTATGCATACGTTTGGCAGATCAAAACAAACGCATTAAAGATTAGGACTTTACATGTTCAAACTTGTGCATCTTCCGCGGAAAACTGAATAATCGAAGGGAAGTAACTCGTATTTTTTTGTACAAGTTTCTCAAACAGGGTAACGTCATGGTAAATTACCGTAGCCCCATCATAGGTTTTAATCTTATGGTGATCAATCTAAACAGCTAGTCAATTCCAGCATTTTTATCAATTTATGCAAATTGACCTGCGGAAGACCAGTATAAATTTCTGTCTTAGGTCATGGTCACATTGTCAACTATCAAGGCCATTCAGAAACCATTGCGTAACACAATGTACAGATTGTAATAGTATTTACATAGATTAAACGTTTATGTAGGTAGATAACACAAATTTGTTATCATGTCCATAAAGTAGATCCATCATTGTTGGACAGAAAATCTGGAATGCCTTCTCCAAAGTCTGACTGTCCCTCCCAAGTTTATCCTTGATCTTCCAGAGGTACATGAAGACACCTACATGTTATATATATATAGTGAAGAATGTCCTCTTCTGAGCCTAATTGTCCCCTCCAACATCTTGCATGCCCTGTTTAATTGTCATTTCCCAAGTCTAGAATGCCCAGTCATATGTCCGATTGTCATCTCCAAAGGCTAGAATTCCATTGCTAAGTCAGATCTTACTGGGGTTAAGATCACTAACCACATTTGACTTGCAAAGATGCCCAAGGCTGGGGTGTCCACTCTGCTGTTGCCTTCAAACTCTATGTCATCCTCTCTTAAGTCTGATTGTCCCTTTCACAAGTAAAAGATGTCCTCTAGGAGTCTGATTTTCCTCTCTCAAGTCTCTTAAGTCTGATAGTCCCCTCCTAGTTCTAGGATATTCTATCCTATGTATTGACTGTCCCCTTCCAGGTCCAGGAAACTTAAGTGCTGGTGAAACTTAAGTTTCTGAACATTTTTTATCATTTTCAATTCCTAAATTTTTCACTACATAATACCTTACATCATGTTTGTTCAGAACTGAAGGTAACATTTGAATTTCATATTGTGTTTAATATGATGTAAAGATGGGAACCATTATCATGCCTTTTTTGTGTGTGCATATTGAATTAATAATCAAGTCCCCAGTTTATTTTTAATACATGGGAGTGACAAGAAATTCAATAGATACTACAAGAGCCATTGAAGAACCAACATTAATAAGAGTCTGAGGGATACATGAAACCAGTCATGGTTTCTGAGTATGATCATTAAAGACGGACACCATCAATTTATTCCCACTGCACAGAAACCACACAACAACAAAGATCCAATGTTATTTTTATTTACAATGATGTTTACAACCTAGTAAATACCAGAATTGTAATGTCATTTCAAGTTCATATATAATTAATAACTTGCAACAGTAGACACTGTAAACTTCATGAAGTACTATTGCTGTTGTGGAGAATCACATGTCTGTACAGTGTTGTATTTGAAGCCAATGCAATTTTACTACGAAAGAAATTTCTGCTGTTGTGTTGACATTGATGACAATGACATTACAATAAACATTAACTTGTACATATTTCCCTCCAGTGTCAAGTAATTCCAGTAAGCTCTTCATCGTTTACCCCGCTTACTGCCTGGGGGAGGGGGCTTATTGAGCTGAAAAGGAGTTTCTGCATTTGGTGCAGCCACACCAAAGGCAGGTGTGGTCCCAAAAGTCAACCCAGGAGTCTGCTGTGTGGTACTAAGGTTAAATCCAGTGGACCCTCCCAGTGGCTGAGGGGTTGTCCCAAAACCTACAATAAATCAAGTATAGAAACATCAGTTGATTCACTTTATGGCCACACAGCTTTGATAATGATATACATGTACATAAAATAATATCTAATTTGAGAACTCTGTGAGATAATACGAAAAGTTCAATTTTAAGGTTAAATACTGGTACTCTAGGCAATGATACGAATATACACTCCACATAAAATATCTAGGTTATAAAATCTGAGTAATGATATACAATGTCAAGGTTGTGTGATATACAATGTCAAGGTTGTGTGATATACAATGTCAAGGTTGTGTGATATACAATGTCAAGGTTGTGTGATATACGATGTCAAGGTTGTGTGATATACGATGTCAAGGTTGTGTGATATACAATGTCAAGGTTGTGTATTCTGAGTAATGATATACAATGTCAAGGTTGTGTATTCTGAGTAATGATATACATGCAATGCCTAGGTCATGAATTCTGAGTAATGATATACAATGCCAAGGTTGTGTATTTTGAGCAATGATAAAGAAAATATTAAGGCACATATATTTGGAGTAATTATAAAACAAATATAAACACATGGATTCAAAACAGACAAAACTGTATAAAGTGACACATGTGATGTATATTTATTATACAAATTACATCTCTATCAGGTCTGACCATTTCTCCAAAGTGCAAGTTTTATTTATCAGGAAATGTAAATATTCACATTGGGTTCTGTCTGACCTCTCCCTTCATAATCCTTCAGTTATATATAATATAGATAACAATTTAACCTCTGCAGTAAACACCACTGGTAATGCTTTATTGCTTTTAGGCTGGTCAGGTGGCACAGTGGTAACGCATTTACATTTCACCTAAGCACCAAGGGTTTGATTTCCAGAACAGATATGAGAAGGTATTGGGGTCAACTGTCTGTGGATTATCCCTGGGTACCCTGGTTTCCTCACACAGTAAGACCCCTTGGTGTTTCTTTCTGGGTCAATAAGAGGGAATATTATATGTGGGAAAAACTTTTTTCCCAATAGTTCAACTGTATTTCTCTTTTAAAGTAGGCTTTACTATGGGTGGTGTTTACAGGTGCTGGTGTTGACAATGAATTAATACTACATTAACAAATCAGAAAATGTTCATAGGGTCCTATACAAACAAGGATCTATTTACTGTAATATTGTTCACAAGCTTTTCAGGAAACTAATCTGTTTGACAGGTTTTGAAGAAAGGAAATCAATTCACATAAACCTATACACACAGCATCCAAGTACTAACCACCTAAACATGAAGAGAAATTAAAAAGTTTGAAACACTTTGAACACTGGTAATTTATGGTTCTCAATCTTTACTGAACTAGAAAATATCTCTTAAGATATGAATTCTCCTGCTCTGACGCAATACATGTAGTAGTACTGGATGACACAATTTTATAAGTTGTAATGGTGGCCTTGACTTTGAAACTCTGGAACACAAACTCTAAATCCATAGTTGGCATTTGGTCAAGTTAGGTAAAAATTTCTAAAGAAATAGAAAGTTCCTAAAGTGATGGCACTGATTAAGGAAGCGACAAGATAGAACAGATACGGATAAAGAATCCCAGTGACAAAGGTACAAGACAGAACAGATACGGGTAAAGAATCCCAGTGACAAAGGTACGAGTGACAAGAATGAAAATTATCATAAAATCAAGAAGAGATAGCTGTGTTACTCAGAGACTTACATTGCAATTTGAAATGTAAATAAAGACACAAAAGTTTCATGCTTTGATTAGCCAACATAAGATGGTAAAACAAACAAACAAAAACAAATCAAGAAATAGCTTCAGGCCAAAGACGTTGTCAAAGCAACAAATGCAAGAAAAAGGTATGAAAGTTTTGGGAAGAGGTAAAAGGTGACAAGGGTTCAAGGGCCAAGGGTCAAAAGATGATGGAAGGGATGCAGGCGATGAAAGGTGATAGAAAGTGAGGCTGCTTACCACCACTAACCTAGAGGTCTGACGGTGGCAGTGCCCCCTAAGCCTGTCGGATTGGTACTGCCAAAAATGGAGCCACCAAACAGCGAGCCACCACTACCAGAGGTAGCTACAGTTGTCGTGGCAGCGGTCCCAAAGCCTAATAAAAACATTGAGGAACCATGAGAAAGTCATGATGTTAGAGATTGAAAGCCCATAGCAAGATACTTACAGTAAACAAGAAAATAACAGCAGGATTTGTCTAAGTCGTCTCTAAACACAGGTGGTCACTTTCAAGGTTTGATTTCCTATCGTACTTCAAGATAATTCTGTTAGATATTTTACAGAAATTAATTTTTTCTATATAAGTCAGAAACCTTACTACATTTGTAGGATCGCACAACCCACTGAAAACAATGTGCATGCATGTTTTATACAATCGGGACACATCATCCCTTACGCGCATCAATGAATCACAAAGTGAGACGGTTACTGTTGATCTATTAATATACTGATTAATGACTGGGGAGATTACAGTTATTTGATATATAATTGATAAACATGGAGTTGATGTATCTATTCAGTATTAAAATATGTTGTGCGATCCCACGACTTAAAACGGTTAAGAGGTCAGAAATTACATAAACATTGAAAATTATGTTTCAAATACTGAAAACATCAAAACTTTTGTTATAAACACTGGAAAAGTCATAAAATTTGTAATAAAACCAGAAAACGTCAGAAAGATTGTTACAAACACTGGAAAAGTAAGAAAGTTAGTTACAAACACGAAATAGGTAAGAAATTTTGCGAAAAAAAACCACTGAAAAGGTAAGAAATTCTGTTACAAACACTGAATAGGAAAGAAATCGTGTTACAAACATGATGTAGGTGGAAATTTTGTAATAAACACAAAAGACCTATGTTACAATCTGTACGTCAGTGACTTTGTAAGTGACAAAACATAACTACTATGTAAATCCTTGTTATAGTCAGTATGGAGTAATACCTCAGTTACAGACTGATAAGGGTTCATACCTTTTGAGCCTAGAAGTCCAAATGATGATGACGTAGTTGTACCAAATCCAAAACCTGCAAAATTTAAATACCGATGTTTATATCATTTTGATGCTTAAAATTTTCGGGAGGAGTACTAAAACATAGATCTCTTGGAGCATCTTCACAATGATAATTTTTCAGTACATATATATAAAAAGAAAAATCCACACAAAATTTTTAGATACACATGTATGAAGCACAAACAGGGAAACACTGGCGAAAATGTAAAGATTGGGATGTGATTCTACCAGTCTGACACTCAGAACAATGTTAGTAATGGGATCTGTTAATGTTTATCACACATCTGTCAAGGGCACTTAACATTTTCAAAAGTATTTACTTTAAATACAATAAAAGCCATGATTAATAATATATACCTGGTGCAGAGCTGGCCTGGGTTCCTGTGTTTGTCCCAAATCCAAACCCTACAAAGTTCAAGGATTAATTAGGCACTTTGAAATAAGTCCTCCCCATGACATTTTAAAACTTAAAAAAAAAAAGAAAAAAAAGAGACTATATATTGTGTTGTGATATGGCTTTGATAACAAACCAATTTTTTCTTTGTGTTTGTAGTAAAAATGATTTTGCATATTTCACTAAAAATACCCAACTTCTGCAGATAGTAAACGACATTATAACAGGACCAGAATGATTTAATGAGTATAGCATGTTAGGAATGACAAATCCCAGATAACACATTTCTTTTAAAAATTCTCTTCATAAGTATCTTGTATCACATTAATCACCTAAATCAGTGCTTCAGTGAAATCAATGACAATATACATCTCATAGCTTTTTACATCCACCATTAAGGCCTTCGAGAAAATAACTTGGTGTTACAATTTATACCAATCAATCAAAGTAACTTTCAACATTTTTAAGCCTCAATGAAGTTTAACAAATTAGAATGTTAGCTTCATTAAACAGAATTTGTGGGTGACCTACTTTTAATCACTTCGGTGGTCAGAAGCTATCTGGTTGTTTCTAAGTTATAATTACATGTATATATCATATAAGACAGTCAACATAAGTCAATAAACAATTTTCTTGCATTTATTTTCCTTGACCAATATCAACAATGAAATCTAGGAAGTACACAATAAGTTGGTTATATCGCACCTGTAGCAGTAGTTGTCGATGGGTTATTAAACAATCCTCCTGCTCCTGTTAGTCCAGCCACAGGTGGCCCAGCTACTGAAACATTCAGACATCTAAATTCCTCACTGTGAAAACTCACAAAAGTCAACATTTGTTTGTCATTAATATCATGTAAAATAGTAGAAGTGATCTTTTTTTGAAAGCAGTTTGGAAATAAAGACAAACTGTAACTGATGTGTACCTTTCCGAGGTAAACACAAATTTACAATAGATTAAATTTTCAAAAGAAAACCAAACTTAGTCACTTAAACAGAATTAAAAATTAAAACATGAATCTACACAAACTATTACCACTCTGTCACTAGACACCTGTCAGTCAAAAGCTGAACATCTTTTCTTACCTGGACCACTTCAATCTACGCATCTGCTGTTGACCTTGAAAAAAGCTGTCCTATATCTATGACCTTGATATTGATATACACTGACCTGTAGGCTGATGTGACCTTGATATTGGTATAAATCTACCTGTAGGCTGTTGTGAATGGTAATAGTATAGACCTATCAATTGGTGGTTGTGACCTTGGCATTAGTAAAGACATTCCTGAAGGTCCTGTAAGCAGTTTTGATCTTGACATTGGTATAAATCCATCTAAAGGCTACTGTGACCTTGACATCAGTATAAATCTACCTGCAGGCTGTTGTGACCTAGATAAGGCCGATGCCATGGCAATTGCAGCAGCGTTAGACATATCTGCAAAAGGACTCGGACCCATCTGTGTGGTAGGATGGCGATGGGCTTGTGAAGTTGCCTTTTTCTCACGATCGAAGATATTTTTACTGTCATGAAGATAAATCTTTCTGTAGTTGAGGTAGTGATCTTTTTGTGTCTGTATAAACACAAAAATTCAACATTTACTGGACACCCAATATTTCTAGAAGAACACATCCATGTTAACACAGTAACAAAACTTGTGTTAAAATATGACATCAATGTTTACATATCAAGATATTTAACTGTTTACGCATGGAGACAGTCAATGTTACTATAATGAGATACTAAAACACCAACACAGGGTTGCTATGAACACCAATCAACAACAATATACTGCTCTACTGGAAACTCAACAACAATATACAGTTCTACTGGAAACTCAACAACAATATACAGTTCTACTGGAAACTCACAAAAATATACAGTTCTACTGGAAACTCAACAACAATATACAGTTCTACTGGAAACTCACAAAAATATACAGTTCTACTGGAAACTCACAAAAATATACAGTTCTACTGGAAACTCACAAAAATATACAGTTCTACTGGAAACTCACAAAAATATACAGTTCTACTGGAAACTCACAAAAATATACAGTTCTACTGGAAACTCAACAACAATATACAGTTCTACTGGAAACTCACAAAAATATACAGTTCTACTGGAAACTCACAAAAATATACAGTTCTACTGGAAACTCACAAAAATATACAGTTCTACTGGAAACTCAACAACAATATACAGTTCTACTGGAAACTCACAAAAATATACAGTTCTACTGGAAACTCACAAAAATATACAGTTCTACTGGAAACTCACAAAAATATACAGCTCTACTGGGAAGTCTTACCTTGACTGCCTCGTGTACATGGTGTAGCTGTGCTGCTAAAGCAATGAATGCTTCATGTAACTTCCTCATCAAAACAATCAACTCTGTAATCATACAATAATGGTTATCTGTTATATATAATGGTTTTCTGTCTGAATCTCATGTAACTTCCTCATCAAAACAATCAACTCTGTAATCATACAATAATGGTTATCTGTCTGATATATAATGGTTTTCTGTCTGAATCTCTGAATCTCTGAAGCTCGTTTCTTCATGTGTTTCAATGACCAAAGTGTTGGATTCATCAAATTTAGTAAAAGTTTTTTTTTCATATCTTTTCTACAGTAACACAAATAATGTTCATGTTTTATAAACAAAAAGCCAGAAATAATGTTGATTTTTCCTGAAACTTGCAGTACATTGTATCTAGTATGATTCAATACCCAAGAACTCTGTCAGCTATCAAAATCTCTCAACATTTTGGTTTGATTTTTATATCTTATATCTGAGTAAAGGATTAACATTAACAAAAATATAGGAAAAGTAGTAAACGAGGTTAAGATTTTATTGATATGATATACCTACCCTCTGGTGAGAGTTTACTAGGCTGATGAAGGGAGGCTAAGTGGCCCTCCAAAGTCTCTATCTGTTGTCTATACTGTAACATTTGGTGTTCAAAGTCCTCTACAAGGTGTTGGAAATATCTAACAAAGGAAAAGACATTATTGTCACAGTGTTGGCTTTATATAACTATATTATAATTGTGTTCCTTGTGTGATTTTCAAAGTTGTAAACTGTCAAGAGGATCACAGAATATAACATAAGACTACTCACTCTGTTGGAGCAGTGTTCTCATACTGCAGACCAGGCGGGATGTCCTTTGTACGCTGAGCCATCTCAGCATGTTTAAGTTCCTATGTAACGCAAGGATTGACAGAATTTTTCATATCCTCATATTCTGCATGAACTTGTAGCATTTCACAAAATATAAAGTGAGACCTTTATTGACATTTTGTAAGGATTTTTCAGAGCTGTTTATAGCTTGCCTGTCTGAAGTTCCATTACACTTACTGCCTCATTCTTCACATCTAAACAAATATCTGTATTTCTGCTGCTATTGCTAAAATCAAATGATTTAAGGAGTTTGATTATGACAATTACTTTGCTTTAAACTGAACTAGATGTTATTCTAAGGTTGATGATACATATTAAACCATTAATCAGCAGTATACCTGAGTCATCTCCCTTTTCAGTTTCTCAACAGCACAGGTATTGCGCTGGACACCATTTGAAACAACAGAGAGGAGCTGCTTTAGAGCCATCACATCTTCCTGGACTTTATACATTGGCTTGGATGACATCCTCACTAAGTCATCCTGGACATTTTTCTCTTCCTTAACATACTTCCTGTCAACAAACATGACCAATTCAACTACTTCCTGTCAAGAAACAAGTAGTTCCAACTTAACTTTTAAATGTCCACCTGGACTATTTCTAACAACAAACATCTCAGCTGCCTCATGTCAACAAACAATATCATCAACGATCTATCTCTAAAAAATCAAACACACAACATAATCATAAGTTATCCAAAGTTCAATAAAAAGATTCCACCATATTTCCAGTCACATTTGATCAGACTGAAAGATTCAGCTTCAAAAATGTTAATTTTTGCATCATCTTCTATAATTTTTTTTCATGTTAAAAGGACCGATCATGAAAAATGCGAAACTAGAGGGATCTTGGTGACCACCATCTTTTTTTATGTATTTATTTGTTCCTTAGAAGTTCGATTTTTTTCCTTTCTTTCCTATTTTTGCTCTTTATGAAATAAAATTTGGGAAATAGATGGAATAATCTTACACTGCCAATTTTTTTTAATCAGTCCCAAAAACAAATAGATATAACTAGGGCCCAAGGGGAACCTAGATACAAAACCTGATAAAAGATCCATCTTTTAAATCTAAAGAAACAGTGATAACAATAATTCATTGTCAAAAACAAAGATGGCCACTTATCAACCATCTTGTTTTTGCACATTTAAGAACAAAGGCAAATCTTCATCTGAAATTTGAGAATGATTCATTTAATACTTCTCTAAAAAAAAGGAATAACAAATTATGACTGTCAAAAATGGCCACCTTTCAACCACATTTTTTTCACCCTGATCAGTCCCAAAATGGATTTGTACAACAAAGACCATGGCAAACCTATATATGAAATTTGAGAAAAATTCCACAAGTCATACTTACTCAAATTCCCCTACTGTTTCCACGATGGGCTGTGGAATATAGGTCTTCTTCAGAGCTTTGCCATCCCTTAACATGAAGCAAGATGTCAATTATTTTTTAAAAAATTCTGACAAACTGTTTGCAAAGCATCATTACTGATTAACCATAAAAAGAAATAACAAGGTTCCATGTATCTGAGGTATGACACAAGCTGGTAAAACATAACGAAGTCACCACATTTCACTTCCAATGAGCAGTGATCCCAAACAAATACAGACAATCATTTTCACAATGATTGTGTTATAAAGCCAAAATACTGATTACACAATCACAAGATACACCCTGCAAACTGAAATTAGGCTACACAGGTTAAACAAGAGACCTAATGGGCCTGCAGCAATCACCTGGTATATATATACCGCCAAATATTATGCCTCTAGACCTATTAGTTCACGAGGTTTTAACAAATTTGACCCCTGTGACCTTGAATATTGGCCAAGGTCATTTCTTTTCGCAGGCTTTCTCAGGAACATACCAGCTTAATATCAAAACATTTGGTCCACTGTTTTTTGAGATAATTTATCACAAACAGAGAATATGTATAATGTAAGTGTGTGATAACAGGAGTTAAGAAATGTGAAACTTACCCAGGTTTACCATCCGTGGCTGCTTCACCTGTAACAGTAAACCAGTGACCAATCGTTGTTTACTGACATACTGATAATTAATCAAGTAATTTTTAAAAAATTATAATGTGATTTTTATTATGATGTAGAAATATAACTTTTTGGAAACATAATTCATTCCCAATTATTTAAGGAGCCTCCAAAAATTAATTCTTCCACTAAATTTCTTTTGTTTACCTAAAGTGATATACTCATAAAGGATCATTCTAACACACTTGATATCCTTTTTAATTTACAGTGCTCTATCCATCCAAAATAAGCCAATGTATAGCACTTCCCACAGTTAAAATGTTTATATCTATCTTATTTCAACCAAGCATAAAATTTCAAACACTACAGATCTACTATATGTATGTAACAAGAGGCCAAATGGGCCTGCAGCACTCACCTTGTATATACATATCAGCCAAATATCATTCCTCTAAGCCTATTAAGTTCAGGAGATGTTTAAAGGTTTTAACAAATTTGACCCCTGTGACCTTGATTATAAATCAAGGTAATTTCTTTTCACAAACTTCAATGCTTCATCCTAGGAACGTACTAGCCAAATATCATTCTTCTAGGCCTATGAGTTCACGAGAAGAAGTTGTTTAAAAATTTTAACAAGTTTTATCCCTGTGTCCTTGAATATAAGTTAAAGTCATTTCTTTTCACGAACTTTGTCAGGCTTCATTCTAGAACCAGCTAAAATATCAAAAATTTTGGTCCACTGATTATTAAGAAGAAGTTGTTTAAAGGAAAAAGCTGACAATGGGTGGCAGACGGATGACGGATGCTGCAACACAGCATAGTTTCACTCAGGCCTTTGGGCCAGGTGAGCTAAAAACATATGGTTTCATTGCTAGTATTATGCATCAATAGGCAGACATGGAAAAAATTCTATTCTTCTGGTGAAATTTGGTTAAGAATCGTCACAAAGTCGGATCAATATGGTCCTGAATTCTACTTCAGTTAGAATTTCCTCCCACAACAGCATACCCTAAGAGTGTATTAGATTTCATCTACCAAGTAATAAGATATTAATATTAATTACAAGGACTACCTGTAGCAGCCTGTGATGTTTTAGGATCAACACCACCAAGACCTGTTGTTTGTGGTTTTGTTGCGATGTTGCTGAAGACGCTTGTCCCTGTACCTCCCAGAACTGTCGCACCTCCCCCTAGGCCTGTTGTCTTACTGCCTAAACCTCCACCTCCTAGGGAACCAAACCCAGAAGTGGCACTTCCTGCGGTCCCTAAAGAGGAATAGACATGCAATATTTTTTTTCAACTTGAAGATTTTAGTAAACAGTATGAAGCTGAACAAGGAAATAAAATCCTTGAAGCTGGAAAAGTATTCTTGATTTCTCAGGTAGTAGATAACGCCAGATTTTGGATGACGACGGTAAAAGACTTATTCTAACAAAGCTAGAGTTATCTAACTTATCTTTTTTCAACATGTACAGAAAGCTGGTTTCTTTGAGGCAGACCTAATCTCCTAACATTTCTCCACTACTGAATATAGAAACATTAACTTTTTAAAATTATTGAAACCACATAATTGTTTATCTAAGCATTCTTACTTGGATCCTAAACTCTGTGTGACTTCCAAATATGGTGATAGAAGTTAGGACAAACCTGTAGCAGTGGGCTTGACACCAAAATTAAAGCCAGTCTGTAGGCTACTTGTAGGAGCTGCTGTGGAGGTAGTGCTAGGTTTGGCTCCTAGTCCTGGTAATGTGAGACCTGATAAAACAGGCAAAGCATACAGAAGTCAGATCAAAAATACAGGCTGTTATAGCTAACCAAAAACACTCAGGTCACATATGGTACAATGATGTTTATCATAAAGAAACATGTACGTTACAGTTTGTCACAAAGTAGGTACATATCCCACTACATCTGACCAAAAATTGAAACAAAATTGACAAGACTGCATCAATGTAACAAATATAGAATATAATGCAACTGTGTGACTTCACATTGGAGAAATATTTTATACAAATAAATTGAGACACATATACTCACCTGTTGACCCAGCTGTAGTGGTAGTCCCCAAACTGAAGCCAGTTGTAGCTTGTGTTTTAGCTACAGAAGTTGACCCAAAGAGACTGCCAGATCCCACTGTCCCAGGAGTCCCCCCTTGTCCACCAGAAGTTGCACACCCTAGCAACCCCCCTGGGGTGCCTAAGAGAGAAGGGGCTGATGTGGTTGCTGCAGCTGGTGTAGCTGCACCACCAAAAGTCAAGCCACCTCCAGCAGTGGTTTTTGCTGTGCTAGTTGCTAAAGTTTGTGACAAGAGACTAGCAGGCTTGGTTGATGCAGGTGTACCAAACCCAGTCAAAGGAGAAGCAGCTGCTCCAGCCAAACCCCCTAGAGATGGGGTAGACGATCCTCCGAAGTTGAAGCCAGATGCAGGTGAGGCTGTTCCCCCAGAGGGTGTGGCAGCTGTAACTCCTGGAGCATCTGTTTGTAAAGAAGAAACAAGGTTAAATCTTAAGTCACATAAAGGACATAAACAACTCTTATCAGAGTCATATACATGTAAGTCAAATACAGTCATGATATACACAAGTAATTAACCTGATTAAGTTTAAATGGATGAATGTTTTAGCAACAATTTCTCATTGATACATAAACTGCCCCAATGTGATATCATAAAGAATCTTCAGAAAATTGTCACAAAATTCCAAGCACCAGGATACATAGGTATATCATCTTTATCGTTTAGGGAAATTACCAAACTGCTTTGTAGAAGCAAATTCTGGGTTGATTTTACTGACCCATGTCAGAAGTAGACGAGGAGTAGTACACATGTACTGACTGTATATAATATATAGCTCTAAAACATATATATATATTTATGGACGATAAAGTATATTAATTTGCTATATTTGTATAACATTGTAATGAGTTGTTTTTGTTGAAGGTTTAGATAGATGTATATAGTATATATTGTTCTATCCAGACAATAGAAGTAGCGTATAATCATAGTAATGCTAAATGTACGGTACCTAAAGAGAGAGACCAATCTATTTTTAGATTGGGGGAATCCCTACCGTCGATAGATCCAAGATGGTGGATATCAAGTTCATTTACATGTATGGAACATTTAGAACTTATTATGACATATTTCAAATATTTTACTTACTTGTCGAAGGAGTACCAAATCCTTTGAAGTTGAATCTACAACAAAAATGTTACACTGACGGTATCAATCCAACCTGTGCATTGTCAGTAAATGTAATCACCAATCTCCTAAATTTACCGATTCGGTTTTTACACTATCGACATATATCAAGTAAGTCTGACTGAACAACGAAACTTTATCTAAGTATTTTACCTTTAACCAAGATATTGAATAATTACAAGTGAAGTTCACATTGTTTTTTTGTTTTTTTTTTGTGGTGGAAACTTACCCGCCTCCAGTGTTCATGGCTTTTTCCAGAAATCACGTGGGCCTCGATCGGCGATTGTAACGGGAAAACCTGACAGTGTTGCGCGGTCCGGAATCGATGATTATAATGCATGTTTAGTGTTTAGAGAATCTCACGCGAATGACAATGTCACAAAACATAGAAGAAAAAACCCTGCAATATAAAAGTGTGGCCTTAGTCAATAGTTAATTGAATTACAGAAAATTACTATTTATTGCTATAATATTCAGTGTAGTTACCTTCAACGACGTGGTCGTGTCGAGTATACAATATATAAACGTCTACCGTAGGGACTCCGCAGGATGCGCCTCGTGATCGTTCCGTGGCCGTATGCGCCGAGTGACTGCGAACTGATAGTTTTATTGAAAAGCTCACTCACTCTCGCATTTTCTATTTTCGTATATTTTGACTCCGTTTTTACTATTAGGGATGACAATATCATAGACTCAACGACATCAGGCTCATTTCTGGTATCTTAACGTGCCATTGTCTAAATATCAAACCATTTACCAAATCTCCTGATACATTCTTATCATATTTCTTTACGAAAATAATAAAACATGTAAGATGTAACGTTCTTAAAATGAAAATTGTGACACTTACAACCTGACAAAGGGAGATTATTGATAAATGAACATCTGGGACCTATGCTACGTCGGTTTTTATGTTGCAGTGAGAATATGATCGTTTGTATAAATATGTAATAATCTTCATTTACATGCAGTTCTTAAAATATATTAATTGTTCAAGTTTTTCCGTCAACAGTGATCATCTTTGTGTGTCTATTTCATCGTAAACTGGCCGCAATGTCCGAGTTGTAAAGGCGCTACCCGTCTTTATCACTAGTCCTCTACCTCTGGGCCGCGGTGTCTGAGTTGTAAAGGCGCTACCCGTCTTTATCACTAGTCCTCTACCTCTGGGCCGCGGTGTCCGAGTTGTAAAGGCGCTATCCATCTTTATCACTAGTCCTCTACCTCTGGGCCGCGGTGTCCGAGTTGTAAAGGCGCTATCCATCTTTATCACTAGTCCTCTACCTATGGGCCGCGGTGTCCGAGTTGTAAAGGCGCTACCCGGCTTTATCACTAGCCCTCTACCTCTGGGCCGCGGTGTCCGAGTTGTAAAGGCGCTATCCATCTTTATCACTAGCTCTCTATCTCTGGGCCGCGGTGTCCGAGTTGTAAAGGCGCTACCCGTCTTTATCACTAGCCCTCTACCTCTGGGTTGCGGGTTCGAGACCTACTCGTGACAGTCGCAGGAGTTTTTGACGGTGGCATTCTACCCGCGCTACTCACATCCCTGGAGTGACGTCATAATGGATACAGGAGGTATGACTACAAAGTTAATGACAAATTATCATCGCAACACACAAAAAGGGGTGAAAGGAATAGGCACTGTTAACAGCCCTCATAAAATCATAGACAAATTCATCACTGTAAGGGTGCAAAGAGGTTATCAGCAGAGAAATCCATTTTACTTTCAAGCTTTTACTCCAACTTTCCCTACAAAGAAAAAAACAACGTACAATTTTTGCCGATTTTGGAATGGCTGTTAAAAACTTATCATCGTGTTATGAAAAAAACAACTAGTGACCGACCGAGCGATATTTGACCACGATGTCCAGTTCTGATTTGTACAACATTTCTTTCATATATGACGAACTCCCAACAGATATAAATGAAAAATTTTCCAGATCATTATGATAAATTGAAAATAAAAACGGTGATAAATTTTCTCCTTGTTTTACCCCGATATTACAAATGGACATTTCTGACAATTCATTTCCATTTTTGACACAAGATTTAGTATTTGCATACAAATTAAATATTACTTTGAACATCTTTCCGGTTATATTACTCTTTTGAACTTTTCTCCATAGACCAAGTCTCCAAACTGAATCAAATGCTTTTCTGAAATCTATAAATGAACAGAATAATTTCTTTGCTAGAGAAAAATAAATAGAAGTCAATGCATGTAGAATAAAAATGTTGTCAGTGGTGGAATGATTTTTCCTGGAGCCAGCCTGGGAGCAGGTAATTAGATTAATTTCATCAGCCAACTTGTTTAGTCTGTTATTAAATATTGATGTAAAAACTTTTCCTAGACATGAAACAAGACTTATAGCTCTGTAATTGTCTAAGTCTGATGGATCTCCTTTACGTTTATAGATGGGTTTAATAACCCCTATCTTCCAAGAGTCGGGAATACAACCAATATTAAATATAATATTAAACAACTTACAGTACAAAGGTTTAAACAGTTCAACAGTAGATTATAAATATTAATTCAAAATTCCGTCAAAACCCGAAGCTTTATTACACTTCAAACCTACAATGGATTCTCTAATTTCACATTCAGTAATATTTCCATTCAACAGAATTCAACAGTCGGATACCCTGGACAGATTCCACCAAGCTGGGAGGCAGTAAATAGGATATCATGGACAGATTCCACCAAGCTGGGAGGCAGTACATAGGATACCCTGGACAGATTCCACCAAGCTGGGAGGCAGTGCATAGGATACCCTGGACAGATATCTCTACCACCACGCTGTGAGGAAGTCAGTCGAGTACCCTGGACAGACATATCTACCACCACGCTGTGAGGAAGTCTGTCGGGTAACGTGGACAGATATCTCCACCACCAGGCTGTCAGAAAGTCAGTCGAATTCCCTGGAAAGACATCTCTAACACCAGGCTGTGAGGAAATCAGTCGGGTACCCTGAGCAGACATCTCACTTCCAGGCTTTGAGGAAGTTAGTCCGCTACACTGGACAGACATCCCCACCACCAGACTGTGAGGAAGTCAGTCGGATTCCCTGGACAGACATGTCTACCACCAGGCTGTGAGAAGTCAGCCGGATACCCGGAACAGACATCCTGAACAGATATCAAGTCAGTCGGGTAAACTTGACAGACATCTCTAGCACCAAGTTTTGAAGAAGTCATTCGGATACCCGGGACAGATATCTCTACCACCAGGCTGCGAGGAAGTAAATCGAATACCATGGACAGATCTCCACACCAGGCTGTGAGGAAGTCAGTCGGATATCCAGGACAGACATCTCTACCACCAGGCTTTGAGGAAGTTAGTCCGCTACACTGGACAGACATCTCCACCACCAGGCTGTGAAAATGTCAGTCGGGTACCCTGGACCAGTTATCTCTAACAACAGGCTGTGAGGAAGCCAGTCGACCAGACTATACCACCAGGCTGTGAGGAAGTCAGTCGGATACTCTGGACAGACATCTCTACCACCTGTCTGTGAGGAAGTCACTTGGATACCCTGAACAGACATCTCTACCACCAGGCTGTGAAGAAGTCAGTCGGGTACCATGAAAATTAAATTTAAAAATTAAAAAAATAAAATTAATAAGCCATGGGACCTGTATGGCCTGCTTCTAGGTAAGTCGTCACAATTAACAACACCAAAACAATCCACACAATGTTCAGCGGATTCCACTTATGATATCAATATGATATCCCACTTACTATTTTTTCTGTGTACCAAATAATCCCTATATAAGTTAAATATAACTAGAGGCCGAGCAGCCTTGACGGTCACCTGAGATAAGCAATATTGAATATAAAGGTTAGAGGGTAGTGTCATGTAACAGAAATTGTGACACTGAATATAGACAGTGTCAATACATGCATACCATCAAAACTGTTATCCTATACTGATCATTCGTATACAGTTATTTCCAGTGGGAAATATCAGCATTAACATCAATAAACAGTCGGTACATGTACACGAGACTAAATACCTATAGTTTTACTTAGCATCGGATATAAAACAGTAGAGCATTAACTTACACCTCTGACAAGGTCGACCTTAAATCTTCTGAATGACCTTTACATTTACACTCTCCCGCGAAAACGCCTTTTTATTACCTATTTTTATTATCGTTGACGATTTCCATTCGTGTCGCGCATTCACACTGTTGTTGTAAAATAATTACCAAATAAAGTGCGTCAAAAAATCAGGTTTATATGCACATGTATGTCACTTGTTCAAATTACGTATTTTAGTGGTCCAAATCTTCTTTTTGAACAGTTTTGTGTATGCATATATATAATATGTTGTAGGATTAGCATACAGGGTGTCTAAGCTAACGCCACAACGCGCCGTGCACGTGGCGATTTTCAAGTCACTGAACACGACTCGCTTTGTGGCATTCCTGATATGCGTATCAAAGAAGAAAATATAGAATTGTTTACTGTTGTATATGAATCTACATATTTTATAAAGTTTGATGTAGATAAAAGTTACTTTAAAACACCAGCGGTTCAGATCACTTAAACCTGATCTTTGACACAATGATATTTGGCACGCGACTTTCTTTCGTTTAAGATTGAAATCTGTAATTTATAACCCAGAGTGATGTATTAATCTGTTACAATCCGTCGATCTATAGTTGATAATAATTTGTTTGTATAAGTGTATTTATAACATAATGTATACCTCAAATAGGCAAATCGTAAGTCTTGGCTCGAGATTTTATTCCTTCATTCAAGCAACCTCGTGCAACTAGAGGTCGTAAAAACATGTACAGCATTAATAATGGAAGATACACGATCCAATGGTACATTTGTGTAATACTAATTGTATCAAACTTTATTCCATCTTCAGATCCCCAAAGAACGTATTTGATATGCGATTCTAAATTTACATAAAAGAGGTTTGATCATACCAAAATAACACATAATATCATGGACGCCCGATCACACGTCACATAAAATATTTAACAATATCAAAATAACACTTATCGTGGACACCCGGTGTTATATCATATTTGTATCCCCTAATTAAAGAATCGGGAATACTTTTTTGTCCATCAGAAAAGTATTATCCCTATATGCTAGGAGGGAGATACATTTACGATGGTCATCAAAATAGTATCTAGGGGACAATTATCTGAAATATTAGGAGGGGGTATATTTATGATAGACATTAGAAAAGTATTTAGGGAGAATTTTTCTGAAATTTTATGGAGAGGAGCATATGTAATTTTATGCTGTGTGT